CAGTGCGGGGGTGATTGAGAAGATAAAGGAGTTGAAGTGATGGTCTGAGATCACTTTGTCAATGATGGTGAGGTCCGAGACGGTGAGGCCCTGAGTGATCACCATGTCGAGGGGGTGACCGCTGACGAGGGTGGCAGAGTGGATGTGGAGGAAGAGGAAGAGGAGATAAGGGAGGAAAAGTCAACAGAGGTAGAGCAGGAGGGGGTGAAGTGATGGTGGAAGTCACCTAGAAGCCGTTCAGAGCAGAGGGAAGCTAGGAGGGTGGAGATGTCGGGGATGAAGGTGGGGGAGGGCTTGTGGGGACGATAGATAAGGAGAATTTGTATTTAAACCGTGAACATGGTTTAGTTACAGTGTAAAAGCTCCCGCTACACTTTCCTGGTTTAGATAGTTCTCATCCACAATGTACCTTCTTTAGAACCTTAGAACATCGCCCTCATGTGCACAAATGTGTTATTTCTAAGGAACTTAGGAATGTCCAGGACCGTAACAGACCATAATTATCCTTCTCTGGCTCATACATATCCATTTCCAAAACCACTATCCTGAGTGATCCCCATTACATCCAATTAGACCTAACCTCATTGACATGAAGAGTTGTACCTACAGTGAGATCCAATATAGTTTACGCTGGTTTGTTCCAAGCTTTACCTATTGATTACATAGAAGTGTTTTTTCAGGCTCTCAGGAAGGCAAGACAGCCTGGATTGGGGCCTCCACGTAGCAAGTACGACCGGCTTGTGTTGATTTAGACAAGAACCACCTTGTTCCTTTACAAACACCCAGAGCAGAACTGTTGTGCTGAGAGATGGACTGAGCTGCACTGGGTATTCAAAGGAACAGCAGAATCTTTCCATAATTCTCATATCACACGTCTGGCTTCATTTCATTGGCTTTATCTATTAGTAGTGGATGTTATAGGGTCGACTTCCAGGTCACTACTGATGTCACTTCCTGTTTTGTGTGCATGCACATGGGGCACAGGAAGTGCTGCTGACATAATTTCACAAAGATAGTGATGGCATTGGTGCTTCTTTCACAAAGCAACACAGCGACATCAGCAGAGACCTGACAACCTAAAAGTCTGCCTTTTTTGTAATATTGCACCAGAGGACCATGTTTGCATGTGATGTAACACCTAAAACATAGAACTACCTCAGAAGTATTTTGCAGTAATTATTGTCAAGTGCAGTGAATACTTTATGTCCATTCATTTACACCAACAAAGTCCTATAAAAATGTTAATATTATCCCCCCATTGCCTAGATTAATCCAGGATACGTAACTACACAATCTACCTTACTCTATGTAGACCAGATATGGATGAATCCTCCTTTATCTTTGAGCCCTCCTCCCACATCACCTAAACCAGGGGGTGGGGGTTCCAACCTTTTGGCTGCTGAGGGCCAGATGCCCTATTTGAGAAAAGTCCGCGGGCCACATAAACGATATTTTTGTGTTTCCTTGCAGAAACATTACATAACATTTACGGGTTATGAAGGGAGCGGTGGGCCAAATGAAATGGCGGGAAGGGGGAGGTGGGGGAGTATGAAATCGGCCCGTGAGCTGCCAGTTGGACCACAATAAAGGTACCCTGACTTTAAGCCTGTACTCCCCTTGATAAAACAACACAGGAGGGCAATGAAGAGATGGACCACATAGACCTTTCCCCTATTAATTGTTGTAGAGCAGGGTATTTATAAAAACTAATTCAGTTCCTGTTTTCCTATTGGGGGGTATCTCAGCTGTGAAAGTGTTGCCTGTTATCTAACTACTGCTCCTCGGAGGAAATTAATATTTGTTTCTGAGACAAATCTAGCCTGTCTCCAGCCAGCAGGATGTTTGTTTATAGAGCAGGTTATCACTGTTCAACTTGGCGGCTCCCATCTTTGCTATTATTAATCGGGTGCTACCAACCACACTTTCGATTTCCCTGAACAGGAGACAATGCATTGCTTACGTTTTCCAAATGTGGCCTAGACAAGTCTATTTTTGTTTTATCTAATCTGGGAGTCATAACTTTTCCCTTAAACCTGGATGTGAAGTGGGTCAAAGGTGATGGATGTGATTCAATTCAATGACCTCTCCCTGTGGTATTGTTGTTCTCCATAGAGCACCATGCAAATGTCAGAAAGAGGATATCAGGAAATTAGTTGGAATGTACATAAGAACATAAGAATTTGCTGGCGAAAGAAGACCAAAAGCCATTTAGTTCGCTTTCCACCATACTGGCAGTCGCTTAACATTTTGTGTCCGTAACTATACACTGTATCCTGAGATATTATTTCATATTTATTTATAACAGAAATCTCTCTAATTTGTCCTTGAAACAAACAACATTTTCTGTTTCCACTGTCCCTTAGAGTGCCTGTTCCAAAAGTTTACTACTCGCTGACTGAAGTAGTGTTTCCGCAGATTAGTGTTGAATTTACCCCCCTTCAATTGCAGGCTATATCCTCTAGTTTTACTATTCAGGACAAGATAAAACAGCTTATTATGGTCTATAATATCTAGTCCTTTTAGAATCTTAAAGACTGTAATCATATCCTGCCTCAATCGTCTCTCTTCCAGTGTGAACATGTCCAGTTTATCTAATCACTCCTTATAATCCAGTTCCTGTTAGTACACACAAGCATATGTATATAACAACAATAATCCTTGCATTTGATATAGCACCTTATTGTGTATTCGAGATGTCTCAAATATTGCAGTAAAAATCATAAACTGGATTGTTCAATAACAGCAACAAATTACACTTGTATAGCGCCTTTCACGTTGGAAAGACGTCCCAGGGCGCTGGACAGTCAGGGATTTTTGGACCTGAGCTGGGAGTTGGGGTCAAGAGGGAAGGAGGGCTGGGGGGGGTGGTGAGGTTGGGAAGGTGGCCGAAGGCATGGTCAAAGAGGAAGGTCTTCAGACGGGTCTTGAAGGAGGCAAGAGAGGGGATAAGGCAGAGGGATTGCGGGATAGAGTTCCAGAGGGGCAGAGATGCTGAATGTCCAACAGCCAATGGTGAGGCGGGAAGTGCGGGGTACCTGAAGTAGGCCGGTGTCCGCTGAGCGGAGGGAGCAAACAGGCTGATATGGGGTTATGAGATCGGAGTGGGAGCAAGACTGTGGAGAGCCTTGAAGGTGAGAACAAGGATTTTGTATTCGATTGGGTTGGGGGTCATCCGCATACATGTTGAAATTGACCCCATGCCTGTGGATGATATCGCCGAGCGAGAGCATGTATAGATTGAAGAGGAGGGGACCGAGGACCTGAGGGACTCCACAAGTGATAGTGCGGGGGTTGGAGGAGAAGCCCCTGTGTGTGCATTGGTGGACACAAAGTGCAGACGATGGGAAAGGTAGGATTGGAACCAGGCAAGAACAGAACCATTGAGGTGGAGGTGAGAGGAGTATTGAAAGTGGCCGAGAGGTCGAGAAGGACGAGGAGCTAAGAGACAGGAGACAGAGCCCTGGTCGCAGGTGGACAAGGTTCACAATGTATTCCAATCAGAAGAGATGCATCATGAGATAAATTCTGAATATTGTAGTTACCCTTGGGAAACTCACACCTTACCACAAGCTCCCACTTAATTGGACTCACTTGCGAGACGAGTGCTCAAGTGGAAATAGCCAGTTAACCTCCACCTTAACTAATCCTTTCACAATTGTACACACTTCTATCTATCACCCATGTCAGTTATCTCACCCACAGAGAGAAAAGCTATAACCTATTCAATCTTTCTTGAATACATTATTCCCAGGTAACATCTGAGTAAATCTTCATTGTGTTCTCTCCAACACTGCAATACCCTTCTATAATATGGTGACCAGGACTTTACACAGTGCTCCAAATATGATCTATCATGGTTTTAATAATAATAATAATATGATCCTTACATTTGATATAACAATCATTTCATTTAATATAGCACTCATTATAATTATATTAATTATATTAATATTAAGTTAATATAATCACATCATAGCGTTTTGCCTTCATAATATACACGAGGCTTACTCATACACTTATTCATAATATAAATCTTCGAGGTGTGATAAGGCACTGCATCATATAATAATTTATTTTTATTGAAGGGATTATTACCCGGGAAAAGCGATCTGCCAATTGACTAACAACCCAATTCCTAGTTACTGTTAGGTAAACAGAGATGTTTGGAGTAAGGAAACTTTCCTACAGTTTCAACCTGCTGGGAATCAAACCCAAGTCCTCTTGCTTGTGAGGCAAGTTCTCTAACCACTAAACTCTGCTTTGATACTCTAGGTGGTGAATGATAGGTCGCTACTTCCTCTCAGGGCTCAAAAGAGATTATTTGGGTAAATACAATTTGGAATATATATGTGCTCATTCTCAAGTATCAGCAAGTATGACAGGCTTTGGAAACCATTTGATAACATTGGTCTCATGGATAAGATCACCACATGAATGAGAAACTGCCAGTCAAGCTCATCAGTCATCCTCTGGTTTCTAATAATAATCCTTGCATTTGATATAGGTCCTTATCACATCTTTGAGAGCTACCCAAATTAATTCTATTCCTCCACGCTCTCCCCATAGCCCTGCAAACTTGTCCTTCCCAAACAATTATCAACTTCTCTCTTGAAAGTTGTTATCGAATCGGCTTCCACCACCCTTTCAGGCAATGCATTCCAGATCTGAACAACTCGCTATATGAAAAAATGTCTCCTCATCTGTTTCTTTCAACAACTATTTAAAATCGGTGTCCTTGGGTTATCGACCCACCCATCAGTGGAAATAGTTTCTCCTTGTTCACCCTATTGACTACCCTCATAATTTTGAAAACTTCTATTAAGTTTCCCCTTAACCTTGTCTGCTCCAAGGAGAATAATTCTAGCTTCTCTAACCTCTCCTGACCTCTCCTGATAAGTCCCTCATTCCTGGTACCATCCTGGTAAATCTCCTCTGCACCCTCTCCAATGCCTTGACATTCTTCCTAAAGTGTGGTGCCCAGAACAGAACACAGTTCGCAATTTGTATTTGAACATCAAACCATTTTTTATTTGATTGGATTATTAACCACAGCAACACAGAAATTGCCAATATAAGTAAGGTTAAAATAGTTTTTAACCTTTTGTTAACCAAAGAAAAATTAGGCAGAAATATAGCGTTACATTTAAGGTTACATTGAGTAGCAACTTATTTGTGCAGTAATCAATGATAAAAAATCAATAATAATCGGCGTAATCAACAATAAAAAAAAACCTTGCATTTGATATAGCACCTCATTGCATCTTTGAGATGTTTCAAAGGACTTCGCAGTAAAGTGAATTGACTGCATATTCTATGTGCGAAACGTGACAGCCAAATGAGCACAGCAGTGTCCCAAAAACAGTCGTTGATTGAGTGACCAAATTCTTATTTTTATTTTTTTAAGAGATTATTATCCCCAGAAAATTGATTCAATAATCAACTCACAACCGGGTTCGTCCTTACTGCTGGTAAACAGAGGCGCATGGAGTAAGGAAACTTGCACAACGTTTTACCCCGCCCGGGAATCCCAGGTCCTCTCACTTGCAAGCCAAGTGCTCTAACCACTGCGCTAAAGGACTTCATTAAGCAGTTTTCACAAATAAGTAAGAACTATCAAGGTAGGTTTCAAACGATATTCACTGATAAATATCCAATTTGTTTGATGAAAGTCAATCGGTAAAAAATGACTTCCCCCCCCCCCGCCCCCAACGTATTTTTTTGTGGCAATGTGTTTGTGCACTGACATCCCAAAATTAATTTCACAGCAATGCCAGGACAACAACAACAACAAAATTATATTTGTATAGCGCTTTTCACGTCTGGAGGACGTCCCAAGGCGCTGAACAGACAGAGTTACAGACCTAAGTAGGGGTTGGGGTGGGTGAGGGTGGAGGGCTGGGGGAGAAGCAGAGAAATCGAAAGCATGGCTGAAGGAGGAGGGTCTTGAGATGGGTCCTGAAGGTGGCAAGGGAGGAGGACCAGCTATTCATAAGCATTAACGGAACAAGGGATGTGCATGTTAAAAAGATTTTAAGTGAATTTTCTTGGGGACGTGTGAGGGTGTGTTAAATTCCCTTCCTTGCACTTTCCCCCATTTTTTAACAAAGAAATTATACCCTAAAATCAGTCTCAACACAAATTGACACATTTGAGCCAAAGAGGTTCACGTAGTCTCTAGTTATTCATGTTCTTGAACAAGAGTGTTCTTCAGCACATCTGATGTTTCAGAAATTGACAATTTCCCATTCCTAATTGAGAAATCTTTTAAGAGATATCGCATATTAGATTCCCATGACCCTGCAATGCCAGATGGCAGGGTTGATTAGGATGGGATCAAATGGGCCAAAGGGCCTTCTTCATCCAAACTACACCAAGAGAACAAAAGAAGAAGTGAAACATTCAAAACTTAGGTCTGAACACGGGTACAATGAGGTACTAGACATGATCAGATGCAAGGATTATTAAATTCTTGGAAATTAAAAAGAATTTGGGATTGTTAGATGATGCGATAAGACGTGCTGGAGGCATCTTTTGAGATGTTGCAGGCACCAATTATTATTACTGCTGTCTGGGGTAATATGCGGTAAAATTTCCAGTTTTTGATCATTTAATGTTAGTGTGCATTATCACAGCAATTTGTAGTGTTTAAATTCACAATAAACATATACTAAATAGCCAATAGGTGGCAATGTCTCCCTCCTCTTTCCCTATCCCAAGTGCAAGCTCTAATTTTCCAATTCATCAAATTTTTGACATTTTTCAGATTTTTTTCAATTTTCCTACACTTGTACCTTTCCCCTTCGCGTCTCTTTGGAAGAACTTGTTCGTTTGTGGGAACCAGTTGGTCAAGAGGTGCTTCACGAAGCGTAGCACTATGTCAGACTCGAACATCCCAGGGAGTAAATGTTCCTACTTTGGCGGGAGGACACTGAAATAAGAAGATCAAAACACAAAAAGCACATTTCAGTCCACTGGAAGAACGAAGCATGTAATTCAGTATTCTAGCATCTTGGCAGCGATGGTAGCATTCTCACTTCTAGGTCATAATAATAATAATAAACCTTAGAACATCTTTGAGATATGTCAAAGTGACCAAATTATTTTTTTGTTTGTTTATATGGAGAACCCACATCAGGACTTTCTGTCTCTCCCTTATTTCAACCCCTCCCTTCCTCGGTATCCAACTCCATCTTTGTAAAGTGCTTTGGGGGTTACCCTGTATGAAGGGTAGTATATAAATGCAAAGTGTTGTTGAGCTCACAGACACTCCGATGCAGTGCTGGGTGAATGTTATATTGTTGGAGGTGTGGACCTTTGGATGCCTGTTCAGGTGAATATTAGAAAGTGAATAAGGTAAGTTTCTCCTGGAGTCCTGACCAATAATCTTCCAGGTAAACGGGTTGTTCACTTGAACCCTATGTCAATGGTACTTTCAATTGAACCAAGTTACCAAAAATATCAACATCCCAAAGTTTAAATAATAATCCGCCACTCCCTTCTCGAATCCTTCCAACAGCCCTGGTCAAAGTGACAAGTGACATTCTGTCGCTCTGCGACCAGGGCTCCTATGCCTCCTTGTCCTCGTGACCTCTCTGCTGCTTTCAACAACATTGACCACTGTATGCTCATCCACCACCTCTCATCTCAACCTCCATGGCACTGACCTTCATTGGTTCATACCTCTCACACCTCCTGCACTTCATCTCCTCAGACGGCTTCTCTAGCCCCCGCACTGTCTCGTGCGGCGTTCCTCAGGGCTCTGTCCTTGGTCCCCCTCCTCTTCAATATCTATATGCTCCCTCTTGGTGACACCATCCGCAGACATGGGGTCAACTTCCACATGCATGTGGATGACACCCAACTCTACCTCTCTGCCTCCACCCTTGACTCCAGGACCACTGCTGTGCTGACGGAATCTCTGTCAGACATCGAGTCCTGGATGAGAGCTAACTTTCTTCGTTTGAATGTCAACAAGACCGAGGCTCTTCTGATTGGCTCCCGTCAGCGCCTTCTCACTTCAGACGCTGACATCATGACCATGCATGGTTGCACACTCCACCTTGCTAAGCCAGTCCGGAACCTTGGGGTCTTGCTTGACCCTCAAATATCCTTTCTACCCCACATAGCGCCATGACCCGCTCTGCCTTCCCTCACATCCGCAATGTCGCCTGGCTCACACCTCACACCTCAACTGTCTCACACCTCAGGTCACCAAAACCCTCATACATGCCCTCATTACATTGAGGCTCGACTATGCAAACTCTCTGCTTGTCGGCCTCCCAAACTCTTCCCTCCACAGGCTGCAGATTATCCAGAACTCTGCAACCCATGTCTTACCTTTCCAATCTGCTTACGCCCCATTCCACCAACCACCGCTTGACTGGCTCCGATCTTCTGTTTATCCCCCGCTCCCTCTTCTCCACCATCGATAGCCGTGTTTTCAGTCACTATGCCCTGAAAGTCTGGAACTCTCTCCCTTAATCCCTTCACCTTACTCCCTCCCTCCCCACTTTTCAAATCCTGCCTAAAGACCTTCCTTTTTGATCGTGCTTACAGTCACCTCCTCCCTCCCTCCCTCTCCCCCTGGCTCAGGGTAAAACTCTGGCACTGACTGTTAAGCTCTCCGGGATGCTACCCCGTGTGAAGCGCACTATATAAATGCAAGTTGTTGTTTTTATTGTAAGCTACAGGACTTTGTGTTCGTGTTTCTCATAAGGAAAATGCAACATCACAAGTTGCATTTTTTGGCTGAAATATAGCTCAGTAAACAAATACATTTTGACATGTATTCATACTACTTTTTCATACTCATCTACAAATACATAGTCACTATACTTAATAGCAAATCGTGTGAAGTGCTTTGGGAGGTCTTCCTAACGATAAATACTATTATTATGCTTGGAACATTGCAGTGGGAACCTGGCATCTCAGGATTCTTGCTGAACTATTCCTGGGATACAAATGGAGATGATTGTATCATAGTATACAATGACATGCAATGTTGGAGTGACACTGATATTCTTCTCTACAGGATTGTTTCAATATCCCTCCTTCATCTAAATTCACCAAGAAAAAATGTATATGTTTCATCAGTCATCTCATATTGTTCATTGGATTAGAAGAAAAATCTTTGCAGCATGGTTTGACTGTGGAAGTCACTACCACAAACTGTTGTTGAGACAGAGTGTAAATTTCAAAAGGGAATAAAATTGCTAATAATAATAATAATCCTTGCATTTGATATAGCGCTTTTCAGGTCTTCTAGACGTCTCAAAAGACTTCACAATATATACTGTAAAGTGAATTGACTGTATATTTGTGGATGAAACACAGCAACTAATTGCTAACCCTACCCTACCCACAAACAATCATGGACTGAGTGACTAAATTTTTAATATTTTTTTTCTTTTTTTTCTTGAGGGATTCTTGATGCTTGTAACAGGTTAAAAGGATAAGTTTGAGGAAACAAGATAGAGAATGGGAGATTTTTGGTGCCTCAAGAGGGCACAATCGTCACCAGCACAGTGCAGTGAGGAGCTAAATTGCATTTTTTTATGTTGTATAATTCTATGACTCAGGGGCATGGGGCACTTCCAACTTGCTATACTATCGGATCTCAACAGTTCTCCATGTTTTTAATCCAATTTCCCTGCTTGATCTCTGAGTTATGTAACAAAAATTTGCAATTCTTCCACATAATTGTCACCTGTGGAGACATTTTGTATTGGCAAACACAGCAGCCATTTGCATTGGCAAAGTCCTGCAAGCAGCTCTGGGCGATTGATCTTATCTGGAGGATTGTTGGCCAGGATATCTGGTGGGATATACACGCTTCTATTGTCCAATAATGTCATGGGAATTATTTCACTCAGCTGAAGAACAGGAATGTTTAGAACATTCAGAAGTCAGCCCCTCCAACAATACACCGCTCCCCCAGTACTGAAATAGTGTGTCAGCCTAGACTGTCAGCTCAAGTCCTGATGTGGGGCTTTAACCCATAACCTTTTCACCCAGAAGTGCTATCAACTGAACCAAGATGATACTTCAATACTTTATGTTAATTGAGAGGGAAAGACAACAGGAACAGGTTGCCAGGAATGGCGGTTGAGGCCAGGACACTGGACTCAGGTAAGGAGCAGCTTGATGCTATGATTGGGGAACAGTAGGGTGGGTTTATTGGAGAGATGGGATCGGATGAGCCAAAGGGCCTTCTTCATCCAAATTAATCTTGCGATCTTGTGGAATATTCATTTATCGCTCTCTTAAATGCTTCAATCATTTCTGTACCTATGGTGCACCACCCACCTCTCCTGGAAAGGAGAGGTGGGTGGTGCATTCCATATTCTCAAACCCCTTTGTATGAAATCTGCCCTGGACTCACTCACCATCTCTGTAAAGGTGTCAATGCAGGCATTGCGAATCCTCTCTGGAGTCGCTGGGCTGTCCAATGGGAAGGGGCCCGACACGCCCGATTCTGCCCTTGCTGCAGCGATCCCATCTTTGATGGCACAGAAGATGGAAGCCGCCAAGAAGAGCGGAGGTTCCCCAACAGCCTGCAGCACAAGCACAGGAGTGCGGTTATCCACTAGTTTATACCCTTCACTGTAAAGATCAGAGCGTCAGCAGGAAAAAATACTTGCATTTTAGATTTCAATTCTACGGTCTCAACATGCTTCACGGGTAATGACAGTAAGAATTCCTGCCTTGTAGGAAACAACTATAAGGTCAGAGTCTCAAAGTACTTCACAATGAATTTCTGTCAATTGTTGTGTATTGAGTAGGCAAACATTTTGCACACAGCAAAGTCTCACAAATACTAATAATAATCCTTGGATTTCATATTGTGCCTTATCACATCTTCAAGATATTTCAAAGTGCTTCACAAATTATACTGTAAAGTGAATTGACTGCATATTTTGTGGGTGAAACGCAGCAACCAATTGCGCACTTCAGTGTTCCACAAACAGTCATGGAATGAAGTGACCAATTTATTATTGTTTTTTTTTTGAAGGAATTATTACACCTAGAAAAGCAATCCGCCAATCGAGTAACAGCCGAGTTCCTACTTACTGCTAAGTAAACAGAGATGTGTGGAGTAAGGAAACTTGCCCAACATTTCGTCCTGCTTGGGAATCAAACCCAGGTCTCTTGCTTTTGAGACAAGTGCTCTAACCACTGAGCTACAGGACTCCTACAACCTCAAAAACTGAAGGTGTTAAATGACAGTGGCCACTCAGCACAGTTTCATTTACATCCATAGATTGTTGAAGTGGAATGTGCACTCTCTTCCTCTCCCTGGAGGAACACATCCTGCTTACCTAATTCCAGAAAGTATTAGGCGCAGTTTGGCAGGAGCTTGGGGACCCCAGAGGTGAGGTAACTGCTGGAGTCTAACCAGCTAAAATCACTTAGCTTGCCTTTGATATTGTTGTCCGACAAGGTTTCCCGCTGCTTGTCCAGCTAGGATCACCCTACCCATTAGGGCTTTGGCTTGTAGGGTTAACAGGAGCTGAGTGGGATGACTCCCTTCCCCCAGTGACTAGTCTGCCCTTCCAGGTCCTGCCGATCAGACAGACTGGCTGTGATGTCATTAGCAGTGCCCTGGAATACTGCGGACCCGCCTTTGCCAGACAGTATTACAAGATCACAGCACAGGTTCAGATGAAGAAAGCTCTTTGGCTCATTTAATCTCCGCTCAGAATAACCATCCTACCATCTTCCTACACAGCACCAGCCGTGAAAGTGTCCAGCATCCTCTAATGACACCAACTCATTCTTTTTAGATGCAATAACCTTCAGGACAAAGCAGAGAAATGCAGAAGGTGGTTACCTTGGATGAATAAATTGCTTTACTATTAACGGAATCTCGTAGAAGAGATACATTCAGCTCAGCTGGGATGTCTCCAAATCCAGGGATCTTGTATGTCCCAGGCCCACGGGTATACAGAACACCATCAGGAGAGTAACGCAGTTCTTCGATGGTAAAGAGACCAAGACCTTGGACAAAGGCGCCTTCCACCTAGACAACAACAATATCAACAAATTATATTTACACAGCACCTTTCATGTCGGGAGGACGTCCAAAGGCGCTGGACAGTCAAGGATTTGGACTCGACCTGGGGGTTGGGATCAGGAGAGGTGGAGGGCAGGGAGGGTAGGGGTAAGAGTGTAACTGAAGGGCTACAAAGAGGAGGGCCTTGAAATGTGCCTTGAAGGAGGCAAGCGAGGGAGTGAGGCAAAGGGATTCTGGGATGAAGCTCCAGAGGGAAGGGGCAGAGAAGCTGAAGGCCCAATCACCGATGGTGAGGCGGGCCGGGTGGGGGATGTGGAGCAGGCTGGAGCCTGCTGAGCTGAGGGACCGGACAGATTGATATAAAGAGAGAAACTGAACGATAACCAGTGGTAGCAACATGATGAATGTGAAAAAAAACTTCTGAAGCAGCCACATTAAATGGATACCTGTCCTATATCCAACGCTGGATTCAGGCTGGTGCCAACATCCATTACTATATCCGTGCGAAGGTTCTGAAATCAAGAAGATTAATCAATGAGCAGAGTTACAAACCCTCATCTCTTCAGCGTAATCATCCTCTCCAGCAGGATACTTCTTTACAATCGAATTTTCTGAGATTTGTTTGTTGTTTTCTCAGCCAGATGTCTGACACATGCGGAAACTCATCACCGTGCTTAAGAGTATCCAAACCAATTTGATATTTCCAAGTATCCCACCTACACATAGAAATCCCAGAGAGAGATTGTTGGAATGCAATGCTCACTCTCTCCCTGGAGGGACACATCCTGTTTACCTAATTCTGGAAAGTATTAGAAGCAGGTTGGCAAGAACCAAGGCTTGGGGACCCCAGAGTGTACGTTGGGGTAACTGCTGGAGACTAACCAGCTAAAACCGCATAGCTTGCCATTGATATTGCTGTCTGGGAAGCTTTCCCACTGCTTGTCCAGCTAGGACCAACCTACCATTAGGGCTTTGGCTTGCAGGGTTAACAGGATCTGAGTGGGATGACTCCCTGCGCCCAGTGACTGGGAAAATGAGGTGAAGGGACAAACTTCATTATATTAAAACGCAAGGAACAGAATAAGAATGAACATCATCAATAACAACAACAAATTGCATTTATACAGCACCCTCCACGCTGGGCGGCATCTCAGAGCGCTTAACAATGGTGGAGCCCAAGGCTGAGCCAGAGGGGGAAGAGGAACGTCCTGAAGATGGGGAAGGAGGGGACAAGGCAAAGGGGTTGAGGGAGGGAGTTGCAAAGCTTTGGGGCGTAGTGCACGACCGCCAATGCTGGAGCAGAGGATTCTTGGGACCCAGTAGAGTGGAGGCAGCGGATACTGCTGTGGGGAGAGAGGAGGTTAGAAAGATTGGGGGGGAGCAAGGAATAGAGGGATTTAAACACTAGAGTAAGGATCTTGAAGTCGATTCACTCTGTGACAGGGAGGCAGTAGAGCTTGGCAAGAACTGGAGTAATTGGGATGCGGAGTTTGGTGTGGGTGAGAATGCAGGCAGAATGAGCTAAATTTTGTGAATAACGGAGGAGGGGAGACTGGTGAGGAGGGCGTTAGAGTAGTCCAGCTGAGAGGTGACAAAGGCACGGACAAGGGTTTCAGCAGCTTTTGGGCTGAGGTATTGTCGGAGACGGGCAATGTGGTTGTGGTGGAAGAAAGCGGTGCTGGTCAGGGATCAGATGTGGGGGAGAAAGGATAACTGGGGATCAAACCTGACGCCTAAGTTGCGCACAGGATCGGAGAGTTTTAAGAACAGGTCAGGTAGGTTGAGGAGGTCAGAACCATGGGACAGAAGATGTCAGTGGGAGCCAAAAAGTATGGCTTCCAATTGTTGACATTTAACTGCAGTAAATTTGCGCTGATCCAGCTCTTGATGTCCGACAGACAAGCTGACAGAACATCAGGGGACTGAAGTTCGCAGCTGGAGGTAGAAAAGTAGGGTTGAGTGTCATCCGCATTCATGTGGAAGTTAACCCCATGTCTGCGGATGACATCACTGAGAGGGAGCAAATTGATGAGGAAGCGAAGGGGCCAAGGATGGATCCTTGGGGTATCCCGTAGGTGACCGGGTGGGAGTGAGAGAAAAGTCATTTGCAGAAATGTAGTGCTGGCGGTATTGTAGTGCTGTAGTGAAACATGCATTTCTACAGTGCCTCACCACATGTTGAAAAACACTTTATAGACATTAATAACGGTTGCTGTTCTTTATTGCATTCAGGAAGATGCCACAAATAAGTTGGAAGGAAATGTCCAGTTTATCTAGAGGATTGGTGGTAAAGACACAAGGACAAACTCTTCTGCTTTCCAGCAGCGACATGGAATATTGAACATCCAGACAGGATGATGAGTTTGATGTCTCATTCCCCAGTGCAGCACTTTATGTTTCAGACGCAAAATATACAGTCAATTCACTTTACATTATATTCTGTGAAGCGCTGTGAGACGCCTCAAAGGCATGTTAAGGTGCTATATCGAAATCGATGTTCGACGGCTTTGGTGCTGCATAGATTTGTTTTCATCACGACTATTCTGCACTGCTCAGTGGTTAGAGCACTCGCCTCGCAAGGGAGAGACCTGGGATTAATTCCCGTCAGGGCGAAATGTTGGGCAAGTTTCCTTACTCCACATGCCTCTGTTTACCTAGCAGTAAGTAACTCGACTACCAGGTTGTTAATCGATTGGCAGATCGCTTTTCTGGGGTAATAAAACAAAAAATTATAATAATAAATTGGTCACTTCAATCCACAATTGTTTGTGTACAATTGGCTGCCACATTTTGCCTACAATACAGTACTACTATACAGTCAGTTCACTTTACAGTAATTCTGTAAAGAGCTTTGAGACATCTATATCAAAGCGTTATATCAAAATGCAAGAATTTCATTATTATTATTATTATCCCTGTTCATTCCTCCTTCAAAGACCAACTTGCTAGATTTTGCTTACTTTAAGGAAACCCCTCAAGAAACCAGGTGGTTTTAAAATGAAGTATGCTTGACACTTACCTTGTGATCACCAGTGAGACAATCAATCTCAACCTCTGACGTGGCCACCCCATAACTGAAGTAGTTGTAAGCCTGGCCTGAATTTGTCTCCCAGTTGTAGTTCAAATCAGGAGTCCTGTCCAAGGCCATCAAATAAATGTGTGTCAGTTCATTCACAAGTGAAATATTACATTGTTACAAGTTAAGTTAAGTTAAGAAATGTTCCTTCAAATAAAATTGATAGCTAGGAAAGAGGGAAGATTTATGTTTGATAACCCATTAGGCAGGAATGATGAGAGAAGCCCTCCCACCCACAACACCTCCCACTGCTGAGTGAAGCTCTCTGGGGTCAGCCCTTGAAACTGGGTAAACTCTGGCCAAGTTCTCTGGCAAGCCAACTTGTGGAGTACTGTAGCTCAGTGGTTAGGAAACTCGCCTCGCAAGCGAAAGGTCCTAGGTTCAATTCCTGGGAGGGCAAAATATTGGGCAAGTTTCCTTACTCCACACGCCTTGGTTTACCTCGCAGTAAGTAGGAACCCGTGTGTTAGTCGATAGGCGGATCGCTTTTCCGGGAGTAATAATTCCTTCAAAAATAATAATAATAATAATGAATTGGTCACTCAAGCCACAACTGTTTGTGGGACACTGCTTTGTCTAATTGGCTGCTGCTTTTCACCCACAAAATACAGTAAATTCACTTTACAGTTTATTCTGTGATGCGCTTTGTAGCGCTTCGAAGACGTGATAAGGCGCTAGATCAAATGCAAGGATTATTATTATGATCTTCTGGCTTCTAGGCAAAAACCCTTCGATGTTCAAACTGCCATTAGCGTTTGTTTGCAGGAAGGGTGGTGTGAGGGGATCTATTAGGGTCTAGCTCTGATAAATTGAAGGGATTTTGTGAGGAATTGGATAGGTGTTACAAGAACAACTCCCCCATTCTGGATATATTGGGTATCTCCTAACTGTATTATTTTGATACCTCATCTCTCTCTAATGCGAGAAAACTTGGAAATCTCCAGGGTCACTACACCAAATGCTACTATTGGGGCTCCCAAAGTTGGGACTTTCTCATTGTAAGCTCATTGCATCTCAATGAATATTGGGGTTCTTGTGGGTTGTATTACCAAGATCATCTCTAGCTCAGCACAAAATCCATTTACCTATGGAAACCCACTGCTGACAGACTCACAGTATTCATGTAGGCTGCATCTACCTGAGGAGAGTAGGTTCAACAAGTTACTAACACAACGTCTGTAAGCAACATCAAAATATCAATTTTTTTGGATCATCCTGGTGTCTGACACACGAGGAACTCCATCACTATGCTTAAGAGTATCTAAACAAAATGTCTGAAAGTTCCATGGAAAATTCCAATTGCTCTTAATGGAGATCACACTCTCTCCATATAGAGATGATTAATTGTCACATCATTACTATGACTGATGATGATCAACTTTCTGATCTAATGGACGTAGCACTAAAACATACAGGGCCTAATTTACACTGAACTAGCTGTTTTCAGCTGGACAGCAATGGCGGTTCTATGATATAGGCTTTAATGGCCAACCCAGGGCAAGGAGGGGTGCAAAACACCTTCTATTGCCCACTCCAGCTATCCTTATTGCTGCTCTAAATCAGAGTGGCAACTTAATGGCAAATTAAGTACACTTTTCACCACAAAATATACAGTTAATTAATTCACTTTACTGCATATTCTGTGAAGTGCTTTGAAACATCTTGACAAGATAAGGCGCTATACCAAATACAAGGAGAATTATTACTTTGCGCAGGTGCCAAACTTTTCCTTCCCGGTGGAGTCCTAGGTCACAAACTCTTCAGACAGCACGATTTTAGCCTTTAGATCTTTCTTCTTAAAGCACTCCCCTTTGCTGGCCCTCTCCCTGTCTTGAACTACACCTTTTATGGACCTGTCTCTCTGACTGTGCAGTTAAGCTGTTCAGTGCTTTCAGATACAAGTTGCTGTTATACTGACCCAATTCTCCCAAGTGCCATGAGGGTTGGCCTCCTTAAATGGCTTCAACCTCTCCAAAAGAGTCTGACATGCATTCTGAAAAAGAAACAGAAAAATCTTTCTTCAGTCATTCCTGCATGCAATCTGCTTGATTTATAATAGTAATAATTCTTCCATTTAATATAGTGATTATATTATAAATCTTTGCATTTGATATAGCGCTTAGTCACACAATAATGTCTCACACATTGCTCATGAAGTGAACAACCAATTGAATTATTGATGAGGCTACCTGAAGAAACCCTTTCTCTTATCCAGTGAGACATTAAACCAAGGTCCCGTCCACCTGTTGAGGTGGACGTTAAAGATCCAATGGCACTATTCAAAAAGAGCTTTGAAACTTCGAAAAGAGGTTTCTCCCGGTGTCCAGGCCAACAATCCCCCCAAATTAACAAAAATGGTCACTCACTCCTTGGCTGTTTGTGGGACATTACTGAATAGAACTGGCCCACCTTGGTTGAATGTGTTATAATAATAACAATAATAATAATAATACAACAACTTGGACTTATATAGCGCTCTCCACGCAGGGTAGCATCTCAAAGCGCTTAACAGTGGCAGAGCCTGATTCCAAACTGGCAGGGGCAGTGGGGTGGGGTGGTGAGTGGCTGCAAGCATGGTCGAAGAGAAAGGTTTTCAAGCAGGACTTGAAAAAGGGTGAAAAGGGGCAATAGGAGGAATTGAGGGAGAGTGTTCTAGAGTTTCGGGGTGTAGTGGCTGAAAGCGCATCTTCTAATGGTGGGGCGGAGGGTGCGAGGGATGACCAGGAGGCCAGTGGCAGTTGAGCGGAGGTGGCGGGTGGTGGATTGGGGAGTGAGGAGGCCAGAGAGGTAGGGAGGTACCAGGGAGTGAATGGATTTGAATACAAGTGTGAGGATCTTGAAGACGATCCATTCGGTGATGGGGAGCCAGGGAAGCCTGGCCAGAACTGGTGAAATGTGGGTACGGAGTTTGGTCTGGGTCAGTATGCGTGCAGCTGAGTTCTGAATGAGCTGGATTTTTTTAAATAGTGGAGCTGGGGAGACTGCGAGGAGTGCATTGGAGTAATCCAGACAGGAGGTGACAAACGCATGTACGAGGGTTTTGGCTGCATTTAGGGTAAGGTACAGTCAGAGACAGGCAATATGGCAGTGGTGAAAGAAGGCGCTCCTGGTCAGGCACTGGATGTGGGGGAGGAAGGACAGCTCGGGGTCGAACTGGATGCCTAGACTGTGTACTGGTTCGGTGAATCTGAGGGAGAGCCCAGGGAGGTTGAGGAGTTCAGATCCGTAGGAGTGAAGACATTGATGGGAGCCAAGAGCATGGCTTCCGTCTGGTCCACATTCAGTTGCAGGAAGTTTGCACTTATCCAGGCCCTGATGTCTGCCAGACAAGCTGATAGAACATCGGTGGGCCTGGAGTTGGTACCGGAGGAGGCAAAGTACATCTGTGTGTCATCCACATAATAATCCTTGCATTTGATATAGCACCTTATCATGTCTTCGAGACGTCTCAAAGTGCTTCACAGAATATACTATAAAGTGATTTGACTGTATATTTTGTTGGTGAAACGCAGCAGCCAATTGTGCACAGCAGTGTCCCATAAACAGTCGTAGATTGAACGACCACATTATTATTTATTTTTGAAGGGATTATTACCCCCAGAAAAGCGATCCATCAATCAACTAACAACCGGATTTCTACTTACTCATAAAAAAACAGAGGCATGTGAAGTAAGGAAATGTTTTGCTCAGCCCTGGAATCGAATCGAACCAACCTCTCGCTTGCGAGGCGAGTGCTCTAACCACTGAGCTCCAGGACTCTATAAGGTCTCAAGATCAACAGTGCTTTCAATACAGCCTCCCCCAGCACTGCTCTGGAGTATCAGCCTAGATTGAGAGTCCAAAACCTCACTTGGGGCTTCAAACTCACAACCTTTTTTCCCCAGAGATAATTGCTGACTGAGCCAAACTGCCATGTTGATTTGAGATTTTATATATTTTTTATTAACAGTGTAATTTTACCAGGTTAGACACTCACATAAATTGCCATTCCGTTTAGGTCGGAGCTAACTGAAGCGGCCGTCGGAGATGTGTTCGGAACCGTATTGGTGCTCGTCTCGGAGATATGAATCTTACAGACTGGAATCCCCAGAACTCTGCTGGCCACCTGGATAAAGAAGAACATTCAAAGTCACCTTTGATAAGAACATCAGAACATCAGAATTTGCTCACCAAAAGAAGGCTAAGGTCCATCTTGTTCGCCTTATACCATTCTGAGAGTCACTTGACATGTTCATGTCCCAAACTGTATACTATATCCTGAGATATTATTTTCTAGCAGAACTTTATCTGATTTGTTCTTGAAACAACATTTTCTGTTTCCACTGTTTCCCTACTCACTGAAGTAGTGTTTCCACAGATATGTTCTGATATTACCCCCTTCAATCACAGGCTGTGTCCTCTGGTTCTACTGTTCAGTACAAGATAATTTGCTTATCTGCCCCAGCAATACCCACAAACAACAATTAAGCAGCCAATTCATTTGAATTTTGAGGTTAATTTGGATTAGGAAGGAAACACAAAATAATAATAATAATTCTTACATTTGATATAGCGCCTTATCACGTCGAAACATCTCAAAACGCTTCACAGAATATACTGTAAAGTGAATTGACTGTGTTTTGGGGTTGTAACGTGGGAGCCAATCATGCACAGCAGTGTCCCACAAATAGTCATGGATTGAGTGACCAAAGTATTATTATTCAGTAATTTTTTCTTAAGGGATTATTCCCCCCGGAAAAGCAATCTGCTAATTGACTAACAACCGTATTCCTACGTTCTGCTAAGTATACAGAGGCTTGTGAGTAAGGAAATTTGCCCAATGTTTTGCTCTGCCCAGGAATCGAATCCAGGTCCTCTCGCTTATGAGGCTACAGGACTCCCTGTATATTGTATATTGTATACTGTATATTGGGAGAAAGAAAGGGTGTTGTCTCTTTAAATCCACCTGAATCATGAAGCAAACGGAACGTAAATTATAACTAATCAAAGGATGATGATCTGGAAATAATTAGATTTGCACTAAATGTAACTCCAACTTGTGCGACCTCAACTTCAACCTGAGATCATTTCTGAGCCAAAATCTTGTAGGTAGCATGTAGGGGTGGGGGTCCCTAAAGAACACATGGTTTAATAATAACAATCTTTGCATTTGACAGCATCTCCCTCCATGGATGCACATATCACGGAGCCAATAGCTTCCTGTTTGACCCTCAATTGTCCTTTATCCCCCACATCCATGCCATGACCCACTTGGCCTTTCCCCACCTCTGAAACATCACCCGGCTCTGCCATTGTCTCACACCACAGGCTCACATCCATGCATTCATAACATTCATAACATCCAGACTCAACTGCGCAAACTCCTTGCTTGTCGGCCTCCCCAGCTCCTCCCTCCATAGGCTGCAGATCATCCAGAACTCTGCAGCCCGTGTTCTCTCCTGCACCAGGCTCTGCAACCCCATCTTTCCCATTCTCACCCAACTCCATTGGCTTCTCATCGCATAGAGGATACAGTTCAACATTCTGGTCCTCACTTTCAAAGCTCTCCATGGCCGTGCTCCCCCCTACCTTTGCGATCTCCTAAACCCTTCCAATCTGCCTGCTGCCTCTGCTCAGCAGACTCCAGGCTGCTTCATGTCCCCTGCCTTGCCCACCCCACCATTAGCGAGCGGGTCTTTAGCCACTCTGCCCCCACCCTTTGGAAGTCCATCCTGCAGTCCCTAGTAATTGTGTATTTGTGGGCAAATTTGGCAGCCAATTCATGCACAGCAAGATCCCACAAACAGTTTACACCCAAAAGCTTTTTTTCCTGACATTGAGGCTCTAGTAACAATCCCAGTGACAAAATACATCAGCACATCAGTTCCACACCATGTCTAAACCCACTCACAACCTGTTCTGTTCCTACCTGCACCATCTTGGTATGGAGACCTTGCCCCATCTCAGTGCCACCATGAGTCACAAGCACTGAGCCGTCTGTATAAATCAGAACCAGCGCTCCTGCCTGAAACACAGAGATTTGTGCAGAGTCTTTGTGGCACTTGGGCAAAAATGGCTCAGAATGCTCAAAGTAGACTCCATAATAGGTTTCTAGCATTTACACATGGTTTGCACAACTAACATAATAGACGCTAGCATTAATACATAGAATCTTACAATATTACAGCACAGAAGGAGGACATTCAGCCCCATCGGTCCTGTGCTGGAAGAGCTGCCCAATCAGTCCCACTCCCCCGTTCTTTCCCCATATCCTGGCAATTTTTTCTTTTTCAAGTACCTATCCAATTCCCTTTTGAAAGTTGTTATTGAATCTGTTTCCACCACTCTTTCATGCAATGCATTTCTGACCATAACAACTCTCCTCATTTCCCCTCTGGATCCTTTGCCAATTATCTTAATCTTAAATCTATCATGAATTATTATGAAATATCATGGTTTACACAACTCACAAAATAGACCCCAGAATTAACATATGGTTTACACAACTAGCATAATATCCCCCCCACCACCACCCCACCCCACCAATCATTGACACATTGTTTGCAGAACTGACATAAGAGACATATTTTACCTGATTCAGGAATGAAGCACCGAAGCTTACTCCAAACTTTGTTGGAATAATTGCCAGGCCTCTCTTCTTCCACCGGTGCTGTCTGGGGGCGAAATATGTGAAAATAAGCAAACCTCTTCCTTGCTCCATGTCTCTTAAATCTGTACCCCACATTGGTTTCCAGACCTCAGGCCAAGAGTTCAAAGATCAGTACCGCACGGACACTATTGAAAAGATCAAATTGACTTGACTAGCCCTTCCATAGAATAAGGAACTGAGCTCCTGCACTATTGCATCAGGTTATGTCACTTTAACATTCATTAAGCATGATATGCTGGAGTCCTGTAGCCTAGTAGTTAACGCACTCGCCTCGCAAGCAAGAAGACCCGGGTTTCATTCCCAGGCAGGAAGAAACCTTCCAGAGGTAATTATCACTTAAGAAAAATAATAATTTAGTCCCTTAATCCATGACTATTTGTGGAACACTGCTGTGCACAATTGCATTTTGTCCACAATATATAGTCAATTCATTTTACAGTATATTGTATGAAACACTTTGAGACGTTTCGAACACGTGGTAAGGTGCTAAATCAAATGCAAGGATTATTATTATATCAGGTGTTGCTGTATTCAAATGTACTCTTCTCCAATATGTAGAAACATTTTCTCTATGATATATGATGTGAACCACGTATCTATACTAATAAAGACAAAATGTCTGTGTATCTGTCCACCATGAACACGATAACGGATTGACGTAGAGACATGATGTATACCTCATTGGAAAGGCCTTGCACAGGGGAGCATCATGAGCATATTTTTTTTGGGGGGGGATCTTATTGTTGATGAGCTATATTAAAAAATGCTTTAATTAAGCCCCCAAAAAGGTATGCATGGTATTCTGCAACAAAGTAGAGATAGACAGATCATACACCCTTTTAGAGAGTTACATCTATACTAATAAAGACAAAATGTCTGTGTGTCAGAAGTCCTCTCAACCGGTTCTTCCACTGAGGCCTCCCTCTGAGTCCTCCCACAGGAGTTCTCGCCCAAAAGAATGTGTGTGCAAATATGTGAACAAGGGATGCTAACAAGTTCAATAGCACATTTTCTTAATTTCAAGGGCTAAAGATGCCTAAGTGAAGATCAAGCGTTTCTGACAAATAAAAATGTCAGACGAAAGAGAGAAGGCTGATTAAATTAAATTGGTTGCAAGCGTAGCTGCAATGGGTACAGCTAGTAAAAGTATAAATAAAGAAAGGATTACAAAACACCTTCAACCTGCAAGTAAGAATCAATAACTTGCACTTATATAGCAGCTTTCATGTAGGATAAAAGTCACCGTTTATGAAAGACATGAAAGACACTATATAAATGTAACTTTGTAGTCCTGTAGCTCAGTGATTAGAGCACGCGCCTTGCAAGCGAGACACCTGGGTTCAAGGTAGGACAAAATCTTGGGCTAGTTTCTTTACTCCACACGCCTGATAATAATCCCTCCAAAAAAAATAATAAAATTGGTCATTTTCAATCCATGACTGTTTGTGGGACATTGCTGTGTGCAATCGGCTGCGACGTTTCGCCCACAAATATGTGGTTAATTCGCTTTACAGCATATTCTGTGAAGCGCTTTGAGACGTCTAGTGAAAAGCACTATATCAAATGCAAAGATTATTATTATTGTTATTATTATTATTATATTGACAGAGAGGATAGAGAGCACTGATGGCCTGAAATTGCAGACAGCCTTACTTGTAGCACCTTCGGTGACACGTAAATATGAGGAAATCCCATTACAACTGACATTATCAAAGGTGCCACGCATAACACTATTTTCAGCCCCCAAGCTGAGAAAAAAGAGATTTTAAGGGTGTTGACCAAAGGTGTATTCAAAGACAAAGGTTTTCAAGAAGGGTTTGAAACCAGGGAAAGAAAGAGCAAAGCGATGACATTTTGGGAGAGAGGAAGCCCAGTTACTGAAACCATCTATCGTTGGTAGAAGATAGACCATGAGGAAAGAGTAGTAACTCAAAGATAATAATCCTTACATTTGATATAGGCCCTTATCACATCATTGAGAAGCATCTAATTGCTTCACAGAATATACTGTAAAATGAATTGACTGTATATTGTGTGGACGAAATGTGACAAACAATTGTGCACAACAGTGTTGCACAAACAGCTGTGGAATGAGTGACCGCCAATCAACTAACAACCAAATTCCTATTTAGTTCTAGGTAAACAGGGGCATGTGGAGTAAGGAAACTTGTCTAAGGTTTCGCCCTGCCCAGCAATTGAACCCGGGTCTGCTCGTTTGCGAGGCGATTGCTCTAACCACTAAGCTACAGGACTCCAACATGATGACAGAGTGAGAGTACGGGCAGGAGGACAGGGTTACTGGAGATAGCAATGAAACCAATGAAATGTTTACAGAACTCACATGACAGGCTCCATTGTTTACACATGGTTTATACAACTCACAAAAGACCCCAGAGTTATGTGCTTGTTACAATGTGGTCTCAGACTAAAATAACCACTGTAATTACGTTAGCCCATTAATTTGCATACATGGGGCTCGGACACTGGGGAAAGAGTGGTTAGTTAATAATGATCACAAAACCAATTCAAGAACCAACAAAAGCAAAGACTGTTTCTTAGTCACCTGTTAAACTCATCCACAGCTTTCCTTCTGCTGTGGTAGTGTGAATTCCTCAAACACTCCTCCCAACATTTCCCAATGCTGAGCTCATCCAATCTCTGGTTGAAGTGGGTGGTGTCTCCCTCTTGGTACAAGTTTAAGTGACGCACCTTGCCACAGAAAAGTAAAAACATTGTTCATAGAATCATAGAATTATACAGCACAGAAGACCATTTGGCCCATCGTGTCTGTGCCGGCTCTTTGAAAAGAGCTAACCAAATCCATTCAAGTCCCCCCCGCTCTCCCCATAGCCTTACAAATTTGTCCTCTCGAAATAATTATCTGTTCATAAATGTGTCACCCTCAGAATAATCCTGCCACACCTTATTATATCTGAGAAGACTTTTTTTTAGCAATTTACCATATCAAAAAGCTAAGTGTAATACTTGTTTTTGTAAGCAGAAATAGAGGTCACTTGTATTAATAATAATAATCTTTGCATTTGATATAGCGCTTTTCACATCTTCTAGATGTCTCAAAGTGCTTCACAGAATAGACTGTAAATTGAATTGACTACATTTGAGGGCAAAATGAGCACAGCATCGTTCCACAAACAGTCGTGAATTCATTATTTTTTTTATTTTCTTGAGGGATTATTATCAGGCGTGTGGAGTAAGGAAACTTGCCCAAGGTTTCACCCTGCTGGGAATTGAACCCAAGTCTCTCGCTTGCAAAGCGAGTACTCTAACCACTGAGCTACAGGACGCCACAAGCAAAGAGTCATGAAGTGAATGACCAATATTTATCTAGAGGATTGTTGGTCAGAACACCAGAACATCATTCTTTTTAAAATTTAATTTTGCCCCATATCCCTTGATACTACAGCTACTACTAATAATAATTTGGTCACTTAATCCATGATTGTTTGTGGGAAACTGTTGTGCGCAATTGGCTGCCATGTTGTGCCCACAAAATATACAGTCAATTCACTTCACAGTATATTCTGTGAAGAGCTTTAAGATATCTTGAAGATGTGATGAGGTGTTAAATCAAATGCAAAGATTATTATTATTATAGTGAGATCTTTAACATCCACTTGAAGAAAAGACAGACAGGACCTCGATGTAACATCTCATGCAAAGAACAGCATCAATTGCAACACTGTACTGCCACAGTATTACACTGGAGTGTATTTTCCAGTGGAAAATCCCATGACATTATTAGAAAAGGGAAGAGCATTTCTCCCAATAGCCTAGCTCACAATCCTCATTAATTAGTCATCTCACAGCTGTTTGTGACACATTTACTCATGGGTTCACTATAAAAACTGTCAATACACTCAACAATTTTCACCTACAAGATACACAGTCGTTGTACAATGCAATACAATTTATACACATATACATATTTATATGCCATGCTTTACACATTGGAAGGACATCTCAAAGTCATTAAGCTCCATAGCAAATATCCTCTGAAGCACTTTGAGACATTTGGCAACATGATAAGGCATTTTATCAAATGCAAGAATTATTATTATTTGTTATAATTACTTGAGTAGCACTATCAAACATAATAAGGCACTATATAAAAAAATTGCTTGACGAGCTGATTTGGTTCCATCGCACACAAAGGCCCAGATTTCGGCACAGGCTGTACCTGCTCTGCAGGAAGACCACATTTCATAATTATGTCATTCATCCAACACTCTGCTATGATCATTCCTTGCGGTGCTCCAAACCCACGGAATGCGGTGTTAGAAGCTAAATTAGTCTTGCATAAGTAGCCAATCCCACGAAAATTAGGAATCATGTAACTGTTATCCAGGTGGAATAAACTCCTTTCTAAGACCTGTATGTAAAGATGCAGAGAAAACAATATTGAAAGTTCAACCTGGGCTGTACAACAACAGAGGACATGAAATATGATCTTGTCTTAGACTACAAGATCATTCTGTCTTAACTTTTAACATTACACAGAATCGTGGAAAATTCTTCAATTCATTCTTAATTTAGAAGCTGGCTTCTTTTTAAGAACTGCAGAAGTAGCTTTCTTCAAGAACCATCTCAAGACTCTCCTCTTCAACCGTACCTTCGGTCATCCTACTACCCCTCCCCTCCCCCCACCCCTCCTGATCTCAACCACCAGCTCGGGTGCAGATCCTTGACTCTCCAGTGCCTTGGGACATCCTCCAGATGTGAAAGACACTATACAAATGTAATTTGTTATTGTTGTTGGCTAGAGCACTCGCCTCACAAGCAAGAGGACCTGGGTTCGATTTCCATGCAGGGCAAAATGTTGGGCAAGCTTCTTTACTCTACATGCCTCTGTTTACCTAGCAGTAAGTAGGAACCCAGTTGTTAGTCGATTGGTGGATCGCTTTTCCGGGGGTAATAATCCCTTCAAAAATAAATAAATAATAATAATAAATTGGTCACTCAATCCACGATTGTTTGTGGGACACTGCTATCCACAATTGGCTTTCGCATTTCACCCATAAAATATACGGTCAATTCACTTTACAGTATATTTTGTGAAGCGCTTTGAGACATCTCAAAGACGTGATAAGGTGCTATATCAAATCGTATTGCAAAGATTGTATTATAAAAGCCACTTTCAGATTAAGATTGCATTTAAGAATGCATTAGGATTCTGTTGAATCTTTAATATTGAGACAAATTGTCTCAGGCTAGAACTAGGGTGGACTTTGAGACTTAAAATGGCAAGATTTGCTTTTTGCACTTTTCCTATAATGCATGTATTGTGGAAGGATGGGATCAAATGGACCAGTGGGCCTTCTTCATTAACAGCTTGAATTTGTAATGGAAATACAGAAGTGTGGATAGTCTGTAACGGTGAGGTGAAATGGGTTATCTTCTTCAATCGAACATCTTGTAGATAAAAACCTCTCTTGTGATCTTGTTCAGCCCAGCTGCTCTACCTGTGAGGGTGCTGTGTAATTGGAATCAGGACACCTACAATGTGTGTCCCAATTGCAAAGGTACCACATTACAAGCCTATATCAAATTTGCAAAAGGCAAAATACTGCAGATGCTGGAAATCTGAAATAAAAACAAAAATCGCTGGGAACACTCAGCAGGTCAGGCAGCATCTATGGATAGACTCTCACTTTTCTCACTCCATAGATGCTACCTGTGCACTCTCTGAGCACTGTGCAAATGCAATACAATAAAAATTATGCTGAAATATCAGAGAGATATCAACTCCAAAGCAGAATAAAATAAGCTTCTTGCTTGCCTTCCCTATAAACCCTCCTCTTTCTCAGGAAAGTTTAAGGACACCATTTTTCATTTTTAACATTTCATTTGTATGTTCCTCTTTCTCTCCATCCCTTCTATCAGTGGCTGAACTTCCAGTCACCCTCTGGAACTCTCTTCCAAAAGCTCTTTAAAATGTTTCTTCAATACCTGCATCATTTCCTTCTCTCAAAACCCAACCCGAATTCTATTAATGCTTGTTTTGACCGGGTTTTTTGGTCACCAACCTTTATTATGACAAATGTGTCAGGTTGCTTCAGTATGTAACACTCTTGTCTCTGGGTCTGTAGGTTTTGGATGCAAATGCACATCAGGACTTTAAACTTGTACTCCAGGCTGATGCTACAATGCAGTGCTGAGGGAGCACTACATTGTCAAAGGAGTCATTATTTTGATAAAACATAAGAACCTAAGTATTTGCTCAGCAACTGAAGACCAAGGTCCATCTAGTTCGCCTTCCACCATCCTGGTAGTCGCTTGACATGTCTTGTCTCAAACTATAAACTGTATCCCCAGATATTATATTCTACCAGAAATCTATCTAATTTGTTCTTGAAACAAACAACACTTTATTCCATAAGTTTACTACTCACTCACTGAAATAGTGTTTCTGCAGATGTTAAACCTCAAGGTGCTGTCTGACTGTACAGGTGGATGTTAAAGATCCCCAACTAGCATTTGTAAAGCGAAGGGAGTTTCTCTTAGTGTCCTAGCTAGCAATTCTGCAGATTAGCACTGCAGTGGAGTCCTGTAGCTCAGTGATTAGAGCACTCGCCTCTCAAGCGAGAGACCTGGGTTCGATTCCCAGCAGGGTAAAACCTTGGGCAAGTTTCCTTACTCCACATGCCTAATAATAATCCCTAAAGAAAAAAAAATAATAAATTGGTCACTTCAATCCACGACTGTTTGTGGGACACTGCTGTGCACAATTGGCTGTCGCGTTTTGCCCACAAATATACAGTCAATTCACTTTACAGTATATTCTATGAAGCGCTTTGAGACATCTAGAAGACATGAAAAGCACTATATCAAATGCAAGGATTATTATTGTTAATTATTCATGGCTATTTGTGGACCCGTGTGTCTGCAAAAACAATATTACAACAACAAATTACATTTGCATAGAGTCTTTCATATCGGGACGATATCCCAAGGCACTGGACAGTCAGGGATTTGGACTCGATCAGGGGGATGGCATCAGGAGGAGTGGAGGGCAGGGTGGTAGGGGTAGTACGAAATTGGACGAAGGTGCAGTTGAAGAGGAGGGTCTTCAGATGTACTTTGAAGTAGGCAAAGGAGGGAGTGAGGTGAAGGGACTTTAGAAGATCATAGAACTATGCATCACATACACTGGGTGAGAGGTCAAAGGTATTTCCTGCGTTACAGTAACATGTGACGTCCAGAGCAGCTATCGTCCCATTATCCTTGAAGCCAACCTTGGAGACAAAGAAAAGCAAAGTTTGTTAAGGATTTCAGAAAAACTTTCCTTATTTAGAATCTTAGAATTTTACACCACAGAAGGAGGCCATTTGGCCCATCATGCCATCATGCTTCTTTGAAAGAGCTGCCAACTAGTCCCACTCCCCCGCTCTTACTCCATAGCCCTGCACATTTTTCCTTTTTAAGTACATATCCAATTCCCTTTTGAAAGCTATTATCAAATCTGCTTCCACCATGCTTTCATGCCATGCACTCCTGACCATAACAACTCTCTTACTATATTTTAGATTATCTCTATCTCTCACCTTGTAATGGCCTAGAAAGGGGTGTCTTCCCCCAGTGACCAGCATGTCCTCATCACGGTTGAGCATGCAGCGCACTGGACATTTTGTCCTATGAAAGGGGTGGAAGAATGAATAAAATACACTAAATACACTAAATAAATACAGAATTTAGAAACAGTAGTTTCCTTGACCCATTAGGTGTTTCGCCCACAAAATATACAGTATATCAAATACAAGGATTATTATTAGCCAATGTGCCTTTGACAATGTTCATTATCCCCCCAACCCCCACCCCCATCTCATTTCTCTGCTTTCTCATTTATTACTTCCATTTTCCTAGCGTCATGGGGTTCAGCCTGGTTCAGGGATAGCGATCTTGTCTCAGTCAGAAGGCTGTAGGTTCAAGACCTGTGTGAGCACTGAGAACTCACAATCTGGACTGACACTCCAGTACAGTGTTGGGGGTGCACTTTGCTGACATGCTGTCCTTCGGAAGGAACATTAAAACAGAGGTCAGGAAGGAGATGAGATCTTGTACTGATGCAATAGAGTTGGATGTCATTTGCATGTGGAAGTTAATCCCACATCTGTGGATGACATCACCAAGTGGGAGCATGTAGATATTAAAAAGGAGAAGACTTTCTCAGGTAGAGCCCTGAGGAATCTCAAATACTTAATAATTTGCCAAATTTGGAATGTTTTAAAATGCTACATAAGTAGAGTGAAATTGGAAGTGAGGAGGCTAGTAAATCAGAGGGGAAAGAAAATACAACACAAATGCAGCCTCACAATGTTTCTTCTGAATAGGGTCTGAAATGTCAGGCCTAGCTCAATTGGCAGCATTTTCATCTCTGTGTCAGAAGGTTATGGGTTCAAATCCCATGTCAAGACTTCAAATTCATATTGTCTCGGCTGACACTTCAATGTGATGCTGGGGGCTTACTGCATTGTTCAAGGTGCTGTCCTTTTGCATGAGTCTAATCCAAGGTCCCTCCTGCTTGGTTAGATGGATGCCAAAAAGAGAATGGAGTTCTTCTCATGTGTTTAGGCCCACAGTCCCCCAAATAAAATTGGTCAGCGCTTTGAGATGTCCTTCTAATGTAAAAAGTGCCATATCAAATGCAAGGATGATTAATATTTTTACTTTTACTACGGATTATGCTTCACACTTACTTATAGGCAGCAACTGCTACAGCTAATGCTAGCAGTGTGCTTCGGCTCTCCTTTCCTCCAAATCCCCCTCCCAGCCGCTTAACCCTACAAACAATCCTATTGGATGGAACACCAAGTGCCTCAGCTACAAGCAACTGTGGGACAAACAAGAGGAAATGTATTAAGGTGAGAATAATTAAAGTCTTATTTAAGTATTGTGATATTCCCTATCGATCTATCCCCAATTCTTAAGATTGAGTTCAACTGTTTGGAACTCTCCAATTCTGAAGACTAGAACTTAAAAATTAAGACAAATTGGTCTTACAGTCTAAGATCAAGAGTTGTGTTCATACTAATATCAATGTAACAAAGGAATAATGGAAGTTCTGAGGGAGAGGAACTTTTTTTTTAGAACTGTGTGCTTGTTTTTGTTGTTTTTCTCTATTTTTAGCCAGGCTCCCTAGCAGTGAACGGATTGATTTCAAGATCCTCACACTCATTTTCAAATCTCTTTGTGCCCTAGCACCTCCCTACTTGCTTCCCCACAACCCTCTGCTTCCGCTCGACTGGATCCGGCCTCCTGCATGTCCCTCGTGCCCTCTGTTCCACCATTGGTGGCCGCATTTTCAGCCACGACACCCTGAAACTTTGGAACAGTCTTCCTCTATCAATCCGCCTTGCCCTTTCCCTCCCCATCTTCAAGTCAAGCCTGAAGACCTTTCCCTTTGACCATGCCTCTGATCACCCTCCCTCCACCCGACTCAGTATTGTGCTCTGCCACTGTCAAGTGCTCTAGGATGCTACCCTGTGTGAGGGTTACTTTATAAATGCAAGTTGTTGTTGATGTTGCTGAACCTGTTTTAGGCCACTGAAAGTGCCCAGATTGAGCGCTTGTCTCATTTGGTGCTACCTGCCTGTGTATTCGAAGGAGCCTGTGTTGACACAAAAAGTTCCATTTCACCATCCTCTCCTTTGGGCACAGCCACTGTGCAGTGCGTCTCCAGGTAGAAGTGTTCCTGACCACCAACATGAATTTCCCCTATGCCAAACCACAATACAGTTAGAATGGTGAGAAGCATAGCATGATGTGCATTATGTGATGTACCAAATTGAGAGTTTTGTAGCTTAGTGATTAGAGCTCTTGCCTCGCAAGCGAGCGGACTTAGATTTGATTCCCGGGCAGGGCAAAATGTTGGGCAAGTTTCCTTACTCCACACAGCTCTGTTTACCTAGTAGAAAATAGGAACCCGGTTATTAATCGATTGGCAGATCTCTTTTCTGGGGGTAATAATCCCTACAAAAAAAAATTAAGCCTATTGATCTAGAGGTGAGAGTGCTGCTAACTGAGTCAAACTAATAGTTATGACAGACCCTCAATGATGTTGTCAGATTCCGCAAACCCCAGGTCAATATTTCCTCTCTCTATCTTCTTCGGCACATCATAGTATGATTCATGGGCAATCGCATCCTGTGGTCACAAGAAATACCTGGTCAGGTTTGAAAGTGGAAAATAGCTGTTTGCAAAATTGGTAAATCATTGTAGTGCATAAAGTACAAAAACTCTTGACTTTCCCTCTATATTTGTCCCCTTCTCTCCTGAAAGTGATACGGGGGGAAGGGGAAGGAGGAAGGTAGAGATAGGTAGAGATCAAATATATGCCTTTCCAGGTTTGAATGTCTGAGGGTCACATGAGTCAGTGGCTTCACTAAACAAGGCATTGATGGCCAGTGTTTAATTAATTCTGAACACAATTGTATTTTATCCCAAAGGCTTATTGCAATTATTTGAGAAGAGTTGACATTGGGAGGTACTATGAATTACCTGAATGGTAATAATTGGCTTCAGCTCCTCATAGGTGACCTTTATTGCTTTTGCCGCCATCTGGGCATGATGCTGCGTGTCCGCAACAACTGCACCAATGATGTGTCCAACACAAGTGACCTACATGTGAAAGAGGCAAGAAAGGCATTGATCCACATCATTTCCTTCATTAAACTTTTCTTTAAATTTTTACACTGTTCGGTCCATTGAGGTCAGGAGGGCCAGTAATAATAATAACAATCCTTGCATTTCGTATAACATGGATTGAGTGACCTATTCATTAATTCATTCATTCATTCATTTTTGAAGGGATTATTACCACTGGAAAAGTGATCCGCCAATCAGTTAACAACCAGATTCCTACTTACTGCTAGGCGTGTTTACAGAGGCGTGTGGAGTAAGGAAACTTGCCCAACGTTTCCAGCACCTTGGGACATCCTCCCGACATGAAAGGTGCTATACAAATGTAAATTATTGTTGTTGAATAAAAGACCTTTCTATTTGGACACCCATTATGTTAGCTTTGAGTATACCCAATGCTATATACATAATATAATAATAATAATCCTTGCATTTGATATAGCGCTTTTCACGTCTTCTCGACATTTCAAAGTGCTTCACAGAATAGACTGTAAAGTGAATTGACTGTATATTTATGGGTGAAACGCGGCAGCCAATTGCGCACAGCATTGTCCCACAAACAGTCGTGGATTGAAAATGACCAATTTATTATTGTTTTATTTTGGAGGGATTATTATTAGGCATGTGGAGTAAGGAAACTTGCCCAAGGTTTCATCCTGCCTGGAATTGAACCCAGGTCTCTCACTTGCAAGGTGAGTGCTCTAACCACTGAGCTACAGGACTCCACAATGGGATAAACACAGAATAAAACTGCTTCTACTTTTGCCCCAATAACATGTTTTACCAAACTCTGAGAGAAGTTATTCCATAGTGCCAATGTGACATTTCCACGTGACTGCCTTGTTCCTCTTACTGTCCCTGGGTGACCGCCCTATCCCTCTCATGGCCATTCATTGGTATAAACTGTGACTCACTTCTCTATCAGCAAACACAGTCTCGTCTGATTTGATAATCTTAATCTGGTTACTCCCAGGGATGTCCTTGCTGCTGATGAAGCACACAACGCCAGCCATCTTCAGAGCTTCATCTGTATCAACAGAACTGAAATACAAACACACACATGGGCAAGGGAATTACTCTCATTTTACGGTCACTATTCCAACATGGAACCTTTAGTGTTTCCACTAAAAATGTTAAATGTAAATTATCACAAGCAACGAGCTATGAAACATAAATATTTCACCCTTCGAATATCTCTGATTAGAAATTGATCAATTATTGAATGTCTGCAGAAATATAGACAGTCAAGCCTTGAATCTATCCTTGTCTATTTTCCATTCACATGTAAATTCCAGTATGTATTGGTGGGGAACATGAGCATGAACCTGGCTGATATTCCTTCTTTCTAGCCAAAGGAGACCAATCATAACACCTGAGCTTGGGTAACTCTGTGCAGACCAGGGATCGAACCAAGGACATTCCTACAGTGACAACAACAACTTGCACTTATATAGTGCCCTCCACACAGGGCAGCATTTCAGAGTGCTTCAGTGGCACAACCTGACTCTGAGCGGAGTGGGGAAGGTAACCGTAAGCACGGTCGAAGAGGAAGGTTTTCAGGCGCGACTTCTAAAAGGGGAGGTGGGGGGCAAGGCAGAGGGATTGAGGGTGAGTGTTCCAGAGTTTCGGGGCATAGTGGCTGAAATCATAACCTCCGATGATGGGGAGGAGGGTGCAAGGCATGAGCAGGAGGCCGGTCCTAGTTGAGCGTAGGCAGCGGATGGTGGATTGGGAAGAGAGGAGGTCAGAGAGGTAGGGAGGTGCCAGAGAGTGAAGGGATTTGAACATGAGTGTGAGGTTTCCTAGTCTGTATAATAATAATAAGCCTTACATTTGATATAACACCTTATCATGTTTTCAAGACGTCTCAAAGCGCTTCACAAAATATACTGTAAAGTGAATTGACTGTATATTTTGGGGGCGAAATGCAACAGCCAATTGTGCACAGCATTATCCCACAAACAGTCATGGATTGAGTGACCAAATTATTTTATTTATTTTTTTTCGAGGAATTATTATCCATGGAAAAGTGATCCGCCAACAACCGGGTTCCTACTTACTGCTAGATAAACAGGTATGTGGAGTAAGGAAACTTGCCCAACATTTCACCCTGCCTGATGGCCTGTATTCTGGCTGAGTAGGCTGCACCTTCATCTCTTGAGTCTGAAGGTTGTGGCCTCTCATCAGGACTTAGAGCTGCATTCGATCAATCCTCAGAATGAACACCACCCCAACCACACCCTCTCCCAACTCACTCCTCCCTCTCCTCCCATGTTACAACTCCTGAATCACTCCTCCCATCCACCTCTGCAGCGACAGAAGCAAAGTGAAGATTTTGAAGAGTTACATTATTCGGGCATGAGCCTTAGCGCTGGTGACCAGAGTGAGGTACAACTCCTTTTCGAAGTGCGGCATGTCGTCGCAGTAAACAGCCTCCCCGGTGGCTTGTTTGGCTGCCGACAGATGTGCCAGTGGGCGGCCCACCACATCGGCAGGGTCTTGTCCAGGAGGTACCTCCTGCAGTGAAGAAAGGAGATAAAAAGCAACATGAACATATTACATAGTCCTGGATAATAATAAGAATCTTTACATTTGATATAGCGCCTTATCATGTCTTCGAGATGTCTCAATGCGCTTCACACAATACACTGTACAGTGAATTGACTCATCTTGTGGGCAAGATGAGGCTGCACAGTAGTGTCCATCAAACAGTTGTGGATTCAGTGAATTTTTTTTTGAAGGGATTATTATCCCTGGAAAAGTAATCTGCCAATCGATTAACAACCAGGTTCCTACTTACTTCTAGGTAAACAGAGGTGTGTGGAGTAAGGAAGCTTGACCAATGTTTCACCCTGTCTGGGAATCCAACCCAGTTCCTCTCGCTTGCAAGGTGAGTGCTCTAACCACTAAGCTGCCGAACTCTAATAGTAATAATTATAGAAATATAACAATGTCTATAATGTCAAAACATCTTAAACAGTTTGACAGGGAATTGAGGTCAAGTAGTTTAATGACATTACTGTTTTATTTCAGAAATAACATAACAGAAGAGGAGGAAAAAAGGCAAATATCAGCTAATTTTCCTTCAAATAACACAGAATAAATCATAACGTATCTGTCACACAAAAGAAGCATCTCAAAACGCTTTACGAATTAAAATTGATTAAAATGAAGTGAATGTTGTCGGTATTGTCTGATCTTAATTTGAAGACATTGGTCGTAAGACTAAGACCATTCCAAATTCCAGGCCTCTGGTTGCTTCAGGATCAAGTGGGGTTAAATTGTAAGTTTGTAAAGTTCAGCTGTATAAGCAGGATGCCCCACTAACCTGGAAGAGTTGAAGAGCCAGGGGAGGATCCCTGTGGAACAATTCTGTGGCACTCAGATGTTCTAGAGGAATAGACTCAATGTCTTTATTCTGGGAGAAAAGGGGAAAAATTCAGAGCGCAGAAGAATTCTCAAGCCTGAAATTCAGATCAGAAAACATTTCTTGAGACGGAAGGTGTCAAAAAGCCTTAAAGACAGAATTGATTGGGATGTTTAGAAGGGAGATAGGGGGATAGTAGTGTAGAGATAATGTTACTGTACTGAAAACATAATGGGCATGGGTTTTAATCCCTTTATGGCAGTTCATTAATTTCAACTAGCACCAGAAAAATACCTGAACAAAACACAAAATACTGCAGATGCTGGAATCTGAAACAAAAACAGAGAGAGCTGGGAAAACTCAGCAGGTCAGGCAGCATCTATGGAGAAAGGAAAGTGAGTCAACGTTTCAGGTCTACGACCCTTCATCAGAACGACCCAACCCACACAATATGGTTGACTTAATACTATCTGAAGTGGCTTACCACATCAATCAGTTGTAAGAAAAACAAACATACTGCCAGTGTTGCCCAGATCCCGAAATAGAATACAAAAATTTGGGAAGTGAGGTGCATGGGGATAAGGCAGGGGAAAAGAGGATTAAAATATCTGTCACAATTTAATAAACTGGTGAAACAGGCTCCAAGGACTGAATGGCTTCTTAAGCCCAACAACAAGCTTCTTATGCTTGCATTCAATTGCTGAATTCAAACATTCAAAAAAAATTAATTCACTTTACATTCTATTCTGTGAAGCACTTTGGGATGTCGAGAAGACGTGAAAAGCGCTATATCAAATGCAAGGATTATTATTATTCACTCTGATCCTGATCTCACTTCTGTCATGTAAGAGGAGTGGGTAACAAGTCGGCATCAAGCACTTCCCAAGAGAGAGCCCCAAATAATAATACTTGTATTTGATATGTCACCTTACTCCATCATTGCCTGAAAGTGTGGTGGAAGCCGATTTGATAACAACTTTTAAGAGAGTAGATAATTATTTGGGGTGGACACGTTTGCAGGGTTATGGGGAGAGAGCAGGGGAGTGGGATTCATTTGGGTAGCTCTTTTCAAAGAGTCGTCTTAGACACGATGGGCCAAATGGCCTCCTTCTGCTGTGTAATTCTATGATCCTATGACAGCAAACGTGAGCTGTGTTTAAACCATTCATAAGATCGGTTAGCTATACCACACTGATTATTATTATTACTGATCAATGACTATTATATTATTGCTGTTTTCAACTACTGCTTTCAGCCTATCTGCTCCCATTCTCTGGAACTCCATCCCAGTGACCCTCCAACTCACACCCTACCTCATACCTTCAAGGATTACCTCAAGACTTGCCTCTTTGACTGCACCTTCAGTCATCTTTTCCCCCCTTGCCATCACCTTCAACCCCCACTTCCTTGGCTCACAAAGGCGCTTTATAAATATAAATTTGTTCTTGTTGTTAAGCACTCTGACACGCTATCCTGGGTGAAGGGTGCTATATAAAAGCAAGCTATTGTTGTTGTGGCTCTTGCAGTTGCAGTCGTAATCCTGCTCAGCATGAGAGGAACCACAGCTTCAGACATATGGTAAATCAACTTGGCTGAGGAACCAATGGTGTAATCTACCATCTGTGGGACTGAATACCCTAAACATAACAACAGAATGTATGAGAGCACTTCAAACAAAGAGTTACTTTGAAGTATTGAGGATGCTGTGTGAACAAACATGGTATTAATCTATACTACTAAGATGAATGTCCTTTTGTTCATGGTGAGCCTGATAGGGATGGAAAATTGGCTGAAACTCCAGGGAAAGCTCTCTGCTTTTCTTCCAAATAGTAGATCTTGAACAGCTATCAAAACAGAACTTTTAGTGTAATATCTCATCTGAAGGTTGACATGCCCGATAAGGCAGTGCTCTCCCCAATTACTGCGGAGTAGTATCAGCCAACCTTATAAGCCCACGTGCTGGTTCAGGTTTAACAAACTCACAGCTCAGACGTTAGAGTGCTACCAAATGAGAGACACACGCCAACTTGTGAAAAAGAGCCATCAAGGCTGGGTTTCCTTACAGTATTTCAGTGCTATTGGTATCCAAAAAGCCAACATGCAACAATTCCTAATGGAAATTCTCAACAAGGGGATCAGAAATTGGTTATGCCAACTGCTAGGAACTTCAATGCTCTAAAGAAATTAACTCTCAGAGCAGAACTTCCATGGGCTAATTTTCAGAGAGGAGCTCCTGTGGGCTGACGTGATCTTATTTCAAACCTCTGCCATCCATATCCTCATCTGCACCAAACTCCATAACCCATCACCCCAGTACTTGCCAGGCTCCACTGCCTTCTTATTACAGAATGGATGAATTTCAAGATCCTCACTCTTGTGTACAAATCATTTCATGCTCTGGCACCTCCCTGCCTCTCCCTACTCCACTATCTGCCAGCCGACTCTGTCCTCCTGCACGTCCCTCATCCCCTCTGCTCCACCATTGGCTGCCGTGCTTTCAGCCACTATGCCCCCAACTATGGATCTCTCTGCCTCAATCCCTTTGCCTTGACTTCTGATCACGCCTGAAGATTCAACTGTTCGACTGTCATCTCCTCTTTCTTATGAAGCAATCCATTAGAAATTGTCACTTGTGAAACCCAGCTGATAATTTACCAAGACAACATTTGCATGCTGAGTTGATCCATGGTTGGATCTGAGTAGACAATCCAGATAGATATCAATCCCTCCCAATCTCTGTCCTTCAGGAATATGTTGTTAATACTGCTTGGAAGCCATTTTACCCACACACTTTACAAGACTTGCCCTGGACAAAGGGAAGCCAACAACAACAAATTACATTTGTATAGTGCATTTCACACTGGGAGGATATCCCAAAGTTGCTGGACAGTCAGGGATTTGGATCAGAGCTGGGGAGCCAAAAGTTACCAGTCAGTCTGCCTACATTGTTCTTGAGGTCTTTTGCCAATTTCTGAAGGACGGTCAAGTAGAACTTGAAGAAGAAGCTGAGGGTCAAGGTCCGTCTGAATTGCACCATTCCACCAGGAGCCGAGGGAGACAGAGGGAGGTCAGCTACCAGCAGGGGCAGGGCCTCATGAAGAAGCTTCTCATTCCACTTTCTTAGCAAGAAAAATGAAAGTCACAACAAAGAACAGATTATCCTTAGAGCCTACTACGGAATTCAGTAGCTCAGTAGTTAGAGCACTCCCCCAGCGCCTCATTGCAGTTTCAGTCTAGACGGTGAGTTTAAAGCCCTGACATGGGCTTAAACCCAGAACATTCTGACTTCAGAGGCAAGAGTGCTACTAACTGAGCCAGATGGTGTGACTCGCTGAAACAGAACAGTTTGGAAGGGATGGGTGTGAATGAGCTTCATAATTGTATGAGAATCTGACTTACTTTCCAGCAAGCTGTTGTGATGTTTTCTCAGCAGAGATGGTAGTGGCAGCCATGCCTCCGTAGCTCAGTGACAGCTCTTCCACAATATCAGAGCCTTCCTTGAAAGCCACGCGCATCCCACAGTTTACGATTGCAATGTCGTCTTCTCGTCTCTGAGCCTGTTTGAAGGCTGAAAAATACTCGCCCTTCAAGAAAAAAAAAGGAATGTACAATGCTCAAGTACCATCAACCACAAGTCACCTTGGTTCAATTAACAGTGTTCTCAGCTTTGGTTTAGAAGGTTGTGTGGTTTGAAGCCCACCAGCAGAGACTTGAGCTGCAGGTCCAAGCTGACACTCCATTCATACTGCAAGGAGCTTCACTGGATTGTCAGTGGTTCATCTTTCTGAAGAGTCATCAAATGGAAGTCTAACCCACCTATTCAACTACTAAGCAACAGGATTGTGGAGTCCTGTAGCTCAGAGGTTAGAGCACTTGCCTCGCAAGTGAGAGGCCCTAGTTTTGATTCCTAGGCAGGGCGGAACCTTGGGCAAGTTTCCTTACTCTACACGCCTCTGTTTACCTAGCAGTGAGTGGGAACCTGGTTGTTAGTCGATTATCAGGTCACTTTTCCGGAGGTAATAATCCCTTCAAAAAATAATAATAATTTGGTCACTCAATCCACGACTGTTTAGGACATTGCTGTACTCAATTGGCTGCCGCGTTTCACCCACAAAATATATAGTAAATTCACTTTACAGTATATTCTGTGAAGCGCTTTGAGACACCTTGAAGACATGATAAGATGCAATATCAAATGCAAGGATTATTATTATTATTATATTCAGATATTCCAAGACATTATGTTATGTAAAGGGTGCCATATAGATGCAAGTTGTTGTTGTTAAAGCTCCCTTGACATTATTTGAAAAGAGAAGAGAATTACTCCCAGTGATCCGGTCTACAATCTTCCAGATAACCTGATGATTCAGTCTATAACTGTTTGTTCAAATTCAAGATCCTCATCCTCACCTACAAGGCCATTTACAGCCTTGCTCCTTCCTACCTCTCTGACCTACTATCCCCCTACCTACCTGCCCGGTACCCTCCATTCCTCTGGCTCCGGTCTGCTCCACATCCCCCGCCCCAACCGCCCTACCATCGGTGGCTGGACCTTCAGCCTCTCAGCCCCTAGGCTCTGGAACTCTATCCCCCAGTGCCTTCGACGCTTTCTCCCTTTCCTCCTTCAAGGCCGGTCTCAAAACCTTTCTCTTTGACCGTACCTTCAGCTCCCCTCTCGACTCTCTCCCCCCTCCTCACTCCCTTCTCTCCCATCACCCTGACCATTACCCCCTGCTCGGGTCCTGACTCAACTGTACAGCGCCTTGGGACGTCTTCCCGACGTGAAAGGCACTCTATAAATGGAATCTTGTTGTTGTTGTTGTTGTTGTGAAACCTTACCATGTGCAAATTAGCTGCCACAATTGCCTACAAATCACAAGAACAACAACTTGCATTTATATAGCACCGTTTGCAATGGTAGCAACTCAGAGTGCAAATAGATAGTTACTACACCTGTTTTGATCTGTTTCAACTTTAAAGGAACTACATCAAACACAAAAATTATTACAATATAATAATAATAACACTAATAATAATAATCATCCTTGTAAATTGAATTGACTGTGCATTTTACGGGAGAAGCGCGGCAGTCAATTGCGCACAGCAGTGGTTGAGTGACTTTTTTAAAAGGATTATTACCCCTGGAAAAGTGATCTGCTGATCGACAAATAACTGGGTTCCTACTTACTGCTAGGTGAACAGAGGCACGTGGAGTGAGAAAACTTGCCTAATGTTTTGCCCTGCCCGGGAATTGAACCCAGGTCCTCTCACTTGTAAGACAAGTGCTCTAACCACTAAACCACAGGACTCCACAATGGGAATAATATTCCCACTTCACCTGTGCTGATTGAATCAATGCCTGACACTGAACTGCACAAGTGGGTTTGAGGTAAAACTCAGGTACAGTCCCTACATCCTGTTATTTGGCAGAGTGGTTTAAGCACTGATCAAATGATAATACAAAAACATTTCCCTCTATCTGCACTAAATTAGCAAACCCTTTCATTTATTGCAAATTAACACAAAGCGATGTGTACAGATTGGAATCCCCATTGGCAGGACCTGGTTTTCAATCCGATGTTCAATCTGAAGATCACAGTTGGCCAACGTAATTATTTTATCAGTCCAGATGTACAGGATACAATGGCAGGTGACAACTCAAAGTAATTTGATATTGAATGTTAATGGGTTGAAAGCTTCCTGTGTTGTGCTCAACATTTAATATGGCCCTGGTCCAGATCACACCTGGTTTAACTGCTGAAGCTTAAGAGGCTTTAGTAACCATGGAGATAAAATCATTGTCTGTCAATGACGTGCATTCCCCTCTAATAAATAAATAATCCTTGCATTTGATATAGCGCCTTATTACATCTTCGAGACATCTCAAAGCACTTCACAGAATATACTGTAAAGTGAATTGGCTGCATATTTAGGGAAAATGCAGCAGCCAATTGTGCACAACAGTGACCCACAAACAGTCGGGGATTGAGTGACCAACAATCGACTAACAACCGGGTTCCTACTTACTGCTAGGTAAACAAAAGCATGTGGAGTAAGGAAACTTTTGCCCTGCTCAGGAATCAAACCCAGGTCACCTCACGTGCGAGGTGAGAGCTCTAACTACTGAGCTACAGGACTTAATGGCATATAATAATGCTTAATTTAGTATGTGGCATGGACCAGGATGTGCCAAGTTCATGAATCAGACTCATGCGTAAGATGATGGCTATTGAGAACAGTTTTGAGGGGAATCCTCACCCTGTGGCTGGTTGTGGGACACTGCAGTTGCAAATGGGATTTGTTGCGTTAACTCGGACTTCTAGTTTGTGAATGTTGAAAGATTCCCACAGTCTATGGTAGTTTATCTGTGGAAGGGAGCACCAGGGGCAAATTGGGTTAGGTCTGAGATGGGGCTACCATAAGCAAACAGTCACTACACCTGATAGTGATTACTCAGGACGCTACCCTGCGAGAAGGGCACCATATAAATGCAAGATATTGTTGTACTTGTGAAATGCTGTTTTGAGGTAAAAAGATACTATGGTTTGTTCTTCTTTCTGTAGAAATATCTGCCCTGCTAGAATCATGCTTTTCCTGGAATTGAGTGGCTGATCATTGTTGCTTTAAGGGAAGTGTGTGAGATCCAGGTCAGTGCTGATCAATCAGAACCTGAACCTCACCTTCCTGCTGAAGGGAATCTCAATGGACAGCAGTATTTCCTGTGGTTGGAGCACTGTTCTTCTGTAGCCGATAAAAAAGCCTCCATCCATCCACACACGTCTTGTGCCATCTGTGAGGAGCCAAAGCCAATGTTAGAAACGTAGACATTTTCAGTTGAGAGAGAGAAAAGCCATTTAGCCCTTCACATCTCTGCTACTCTGTTTTTCTGAGTTACCTTTTCTATTTATCCTATTCTCCTGCTCTTTCCCCAACTTCCTCAATGTTTTACTACTCAGGTATTTATCCATAAAGCCCTAGAAATCTACCACAAGGCAGGAGGCCATTCAGCACATTGTATCAGTGTTGCTGTTTGTCGTTGTTTACTCCTTCATAGAAGCCATCTATCTAATTCCCAATTCCGTGTTCTTTCTCCACACACTAATCCATGCATGTATTTCTGTAATCCCTTTTAAATACCCCAGTTTCTAAGTTACCTTCTGAACAAATCTATTGATTTCAACCTCAATAGCTTACTTGAATTCCTCTGTGTTAAGAAATTCTTCCCAGGATTGTTAGTAATCTTTCTACTAACAATCCTGAAACTATGTCTCTTTATCACCAATTTCCCAATTAAAGAAAATTGTTTTCAACTATTTCCATAATCTAATGTACAGAATGGGAAATAATAATAATATAATAATTCTTGCATTCGATATAGTGCCTTATCACGTCTCAAAATGCTTCACAGAATAGACTATAAAGTGCCTTGACTTTATATTCTGTGGGCGAAATGTGGCAGCCAATTGCACACAGCAGCGTCCGACAAACAGTTGTGGATTGAGTGACCAAATTATTAAATTATTATTTTTTAAAAAAAGCGATCCATCAATCGACTTCCAACTGGGTTCCTACTTACTGATAGGCGCGTGGAATAAGAAAACTTGCCTAAGATTCCACACTGCCCTTGAATCGAACCCAGGGCCTCTCACTTGCGAGTCGAGTGCTCTAACCACTGAGCTACAGACTCCACTGAACTCAATTGAACACAATGAGAAATGGAGATAGCCAACCTGTGGAAGCCAGGGTCACAGAGCAGCAGGAGGCCATGAACACCGGGTTCAGGTCTGAGATAGGGCTGGCAGTCATGATGTTGCCCCCAACAGCCTGGAACCACAGTACAAGGAGAGAGAAAAGTATTACATTTAAGATGATAACTTTGAAACATTCATCTAAACCCGTTCTCCATATCTAGAGCTAAGGAGATTACAATAAGACCAGAAAACATTTATTCACACAGAGGCTTGTGAGAATGTGCAATGTACAGTCCCAGAAAGCCATAGATGCACAATTGTTTGGGGTGCTTAATAGAGAGTTGGACAGACACTTGGGGGAAAAGGATTTTAAGGGATGTGGAGAAAAGTTGCGGAAATGAGGTTAAAAAATCTTTTTTAAGCCAAACCAATGTTTCTTTACACAAAGGATAATTAACAACAGGAACAGGAAGGGTGGTTGACACCAAATACTGGCATGTTCAATTAAGAACAGGTTGATACTATAATAATAAGGCAGGGTGTGTATTCTGCAAGGATGAGATCAAATGGGCCAAAGGACTTTCTTTATCTCTCTTGTGATCTTATGAGTTGGAGGGGTGGAGTTAATAGTGTAGATTCAGAAATATTACAATGAACTCACAGCCACGTTTCTGATCTGCTGCCCTGCAAACCATCGCAGCTGCTCCAGTACAGCCTTGAACACCTCGGTCCTCCAGGCAGGGAGTTCAGCTACGGTACGTCTCAGTACTCTCTCCATGTATGTCAAGGTGCACGCAGCCCCAAACAGTATCCCTTCAATGGAAGAAGTAATAGGGTCTGAATACAAAACCTTGACTTTGTTTACCATGGAAATCCATTTCATTTGTAATATGGGTCCGAAACACTGATTGTCCAGCACCTTGGGACATCCTGCTGACGTGAAAGGTGCTATACAAATGTAATTTGTTGTTGTTGGTGTCTTCCTGCAGTACACCTGGCTTTGAGGAGAAAGTTCTTCATTAAATCCAAAGCTATACTTATTACCAGCCTATCTGGCTTGTTGACAATATTTGGAGGCAAAGTCACTCCCTCAAGGCAGCACGACTGGTGAGCCTCGAAGTCCTGGTGGACATGTACCATGGTGCACAATTACAACAGAGATGAATGTTAGAAGAGTAAGTGTCTATATTGTGCTCCTCACTGTGACTAGTCTCAGGCTGAAGAACCAATGTTCTTGGGTGAATGGCGTATGGCAACTGCACAGGGAATAAAAAAAGGCAGAGTTTACAGCAAAAAAAAGTTGATGAACAGAATAACCTACCGGTGTCTGTGTGTCGGGAGAACCTCAGCTCTGGGATGTGTGCTGGAGCCAGAATAACCGGGTACACCTGGTTCTTGAACTTCATTTCAATACCTGGGCAAAGCAAACTTAAGTCAGTTTTTCTTCCTTCCCAACTGCTCCCCTACGTTGGCCCTTAATGAGACAGTGAGTCATCGTGAACTGTAGTTACAATGGGCAATGAGCATCTTTCAACGCCATGAAATTTTAATGTTGGCCACAATTCATGGCAGCAACTTGAACATTCAACAATTCAGATGGTTCTTCAATAATAATAATCCTTACATTTCATATAGCGCCTTATCACGTCTTCGAGAGTCTCGAAGCGCTTCTCAGAATATACTGTAAAGTGAATTGACTGTATATTTAGTGGATGAAAGGCAGCAGCCAATTGTGCTCAGCAGTGTCCAAAACAGTTGTGGATTGAGGGACCACATTATTAATGTACGATTGTCCATACGCTCACTTTCCTTTGGGACAATGATATGCAGCATCAGCCCTGACTTTCCTCTCCTACTCATTGAAGCCAATGTAGACCTAACATCTGTCCCTAACTGAGATCAGCTAACTAAATCCAGATCAGGAATTGAACCTTGAGTATCTGTATGGTTCAGGTTTCTTCAAAGATTTGGCTTCATCAAGTTAGCTGTGGAAGAAGCTGAATACTCATTCCAATAATTATAACTATGATTTGCCAGGAAGTGTGGTTGAAGCCATGGTGCTAGATTTTTCCAATAGTGTTATGACATCTTTAAATTCAACCTGAAGAACAGACAGATGGAACCTCAGTTAAACATTTCATCTAAAAGAAAGCACTTCCGATGATGCGATAATCCACCTCACTGTTCTCCAGTACTGCAATCCAGTGCAGTCACCACCACTATAACCCACATAACACCGACCACCTGCTTCCTTGACCCCCATCCCTACCCTTCTCCTTACCTCCCAGCTCTGCCTCCTTGCCCCTCTACTCACAGACATCATAAACCTCTCCCTGTCCACAGGCAGCGTTCCCATCCTTTAAAAAAGTGTCATCATTCTTCACTTCATTCGTTCCTCTCCCACCATTCCCTTCACGAACCCTCTGCCTCCCACAGCACAAGAACAGCTTTTGTCAAAGTGACAAATTACATTTTGTCCAACTGCAAACAGGGCTTCCTCAGCCTCCTCGTCCTCCTTGACCTCTCTGCTACCTTCGATACTGTTGACCACTCTATCCTCCTCTACTGCCTCTCCTCTCACCTCAACCTTCATGGTTCTGTCGTTGAATGGTTCACATCTTACCTCTCACACCGTCTCCACTTCATCTCCACAAACGGCTTCTCCTCTAGCCCGTGCACAGTGTCGTGCAACGTTCCTCACGGCTCTGTCCTTGGTCCCCTCCTCTTCAATATTTATATGTTCCCTCTTGGTGACATCATCCACAGACATGGGGTCAACTTCCACATGTATACAGATGACACCCAACTCTATCTTTTTGCCTCCACCCTTGACTCCAGGACCACTGCTGTCCTGATGGAATGTCTGTCAGCCATCAAGTCCTGGACGAGAGCTAACTATCTACAATTGAACGTCAAGAAGACCGAGGCTCACCTGATTGGCTCCCATCAGTGCCTCCAGACCTCAGACGCTGACAGCATCACCATCCAAGGATGCACATTCCACCTCACTAAACCAATCGAACCTTTGCATCTTGTTTGACCCTCAACTATCCTATCTACCCACGTCCATGCCGTGACCCGCTCTGCCTTTCCCCACCTCTGCAACATCGCCTGTCCCACACCACAGGCCGCTGAAACCCTCCTACATGTATTTATAACATCCAGGCTTGATTATGCAAACTCCCTGCTTGTTGGCCTCCCCAACTCCTCCCTCCATAGGCTGCAGATGATTCAGAACTTTGCAGCCCATTTCTCTCCTGCACATGTGCTTCATATCCCCCGCCTCGCCCACCCCACCATTGGCGTGCAGGCCCCCACCCTCAGTAACTCCATACCACAGTCCCGCTGCCTTGCCCCATCCCTTGCTTCCTTCAAGACCCGTCTCAAGACCCTCCTCTTTGACCATGCCTTCGGTCACCCTCCTTCCCCCACTGGCCTCCACCCTCTCTAATCCCGACCCCCAGCTCAGATCCGAAACACTATTGTCCAAGCGCCTTGGAAAGTCCTCCCGACGTGAAAGGCGCTATACAAATGCAATTTTGTTGTTGTTGTTGTTGGAGTATCAGCTTAGACTGTCAACTTAAGTGCCAATGTTGGGTTTGAATCACAATCTATTGCTGCCAATTAAACATGGCGGGCATTCGTATAGCAACCTATAAAGACTTCTCCTAGATCTCAAGACTTTGATTTTGGTATGATTTGTGGAGTCCTGCTGCTTAATGGTTTGAGCGCTCACCTCGCTAGCGAGAGGACCTGGGTTTGATTCCTGGGCAGGGCGAAATGTTCAGCAAGTTTCCTTACTCCACACACCCAGCAACTTAACATGCCATACTTAACTAGCTATAAGTAGGAACCCGGTTGTTGTTCAATTGTCAGATCACTTTTCTGGAGATAATAAACCCTTCAAAAAAATTAATTAATTAAAAAAATTTAATCCACGACCATTTGTGGGATATTGCTGTACACAATTGGCTGCCGCGTTTTGCCCACAAAATATTCAGTCAATTCACTTTACGGTATTTTACGGGAAAGTGCTTTGAGAAGTCTCAAAGACATGATAAGGCGCTGTGTCAAAATGCAAGTATTATTATTATTTCTATGTTGTTTTGTTCTGAGTTTCTTACCCACTTCAGTGTTGCCCACCACCAGCCGAGCCTCGGGGTACCTGGCTTTCAAGGACAACAGCTTATCCAAGCTGTAAGGTTGAATCCAGGTAACCCGTTCTCCTTTAAACAGCAGAGTTTTCTGTGGCAATTCATCAAATAACTGCAACACACATTAAAAAAAACATAATTTTGAATCAAAGAATCACAGAATTGTACAGCAAGGAAGGACATCGTTCCTCTGTGGTGAATCCATTTAGTCCCACACTTGTGCTGTCCACATATCATTTTATATTGTGCTTTTTTTCAAACATTTGTCTAATTCTATTTTAAAAGCTACTGTCCATTCTGCTCAACCGCGTTTTTTCATTTGGCAATTCATGTCCTATTATTGACTAAGCTGTTTTCTCCATCGTCACTGATGCGTACAGTAGCACAATAGCTCAGACACATTCCTGTATAACTACCATCACAGACTACCTGTCTTTGTGTCAATGTTCAGCAAGGGCACCAGCATTTACCAGGAGTTCCGGGGGGAAGTCTGGCTCTTGAGTGGGGACCAGAGGCTTGAACGTTAATGATTCAAAGAGTTGGGTCTGTAATAAATGGCAAGAGATTGTGCATGAATAAGGATGTAAAAGAATAGGAGCAGCACAGATTCACAAGGCTGATATGTGAGGGAACTTTCTTTCACACTGCCCCCAGGGTCTGAAGCAGGTGCTGAGTAAAGATAGCAAAAACCTCTTCAATACACTGCCTAAAGTACTGTCAATTCATAAGCATCATACGTACCTCTGAGGACCTGACTTAGAAACATAGAAACAGAATATCCCATTCAGCCCTTTGAGCCTGTTCTGCTATTCTATAAAATCATGACTGATCTGTACCTCTGTACCTGCGCTTGCCCAGCATCCCTTAATATCCTGACCTAACAAATATCTATCCATCTGAGTCTTCAAGATGTGAATGGATCCAGCATTAAAAGCCATTTGGGGAGAGATTCCAGATTTCCACCACCCTTTGCCTATGTATACAGGTACATATACACACTAATACTAATACACTCACTCATACTCACATGTACACACACAAGCACTCACTCACAGGAACAACAGCAGTACAACAACAACAACAAGATTCCATTTATAGAGCGCCTTTCACGTCGGGAGGACATCCCAAGGCGCTGTACAGTTGGGTCAGGACCCGAGCAGGGGGGAAATGGTCAGGGTGAGGGGAGGGAAGGGAGGGAGCGAGGAGGGGGTAGAGAGTCAAAGCTGAAGGCACGGTCAAAGTAAACAAGACCTAGGAGAATGCTCATCACTTACTCGGCTACCATCAGCCAGACATTTGTAGCAGTCGTTTCCTTTCCTGTTCCCACCTGATGGCTGACAAAATACAATATTTGGATGTGAGTTATAATTTTCCTTACAAGCAGTCACAGCAGCTGGTATTTGCATAAGACTACAAATACACAAACACTCCACTTCACAGTAAATTCCTGTGAAAAACTTTGAGACATCCTCACGATGTGAAAGGAACTACACCAAATGCAAGGATTATTACTATTACTAGCCCACAAAATGTACAGTCAATTCACTTTACAGTATATTCTGTGAAATGCGTTGACAACGTGATAAGGCACTATGTTAAATGCAAGGATTATGATTATTATTATTATTTCCAAACAGCCATAGCAAGATGGCAGAGGAAAAGTTTGAGCCTCGTCACCAGCTTTGTGAAGCCCCTCACTCCATGCATCACATTTATTGATGTAGGTGAAACAAGGATCTGCTCTATTTGGGAAACATTGAGCTTCATATTCCCTGCGCCTTTGTAAAATATGGGTGATGTGATTTTAAAATTGTAAAACGTACATTAAAGATTTAAAATGAATTTTTATTTATGGATACTCCAAGCAGCAGGACAAGAGATCACAGCTGCCCCCACTCCATCACCCGCTGCCTGCGCTCAGCCGGCTCCGGTCTCCTGTTTGTCCCTCGTGCTTCTCCACTCCACCATCGGCAGCCACGTATTTAGCCACTACGGTCCGAAACTCTGGAACTGTCTCCCTTAATCCCTCTGCCTTGCCCCTCCGTCCCCACCTTCAAATCCTACCTTCATTTTTGATGGAGCTTACGATCAACCTCCCCCCTCCCTCTCCCCCAGCTCATTGTCAGACTTCCCCACTGTGAAGCGTTCCCGGATGCTACCCCACGTGAAGGGCACTGTATAAATGCAAGTTGTTGTTATTTGGGTGAAGGGCAATTTTAGGAGCAGCAATAGAGCATCAGCCTAGAGTGTGAGCTGAGTGTAAGTGCAGACCTGGGGCTTGAAGCCGCAACTTTCTGACCCAGCAACAAGCGAGCTACCAACTGAGCCAATGGTTCCCGGAATGAACATTAGTAAACAGGACACATCAGAGTTTGTCCCCGATCACTTACTCGGGCTGGTTCATCCAGAGTTTTGCAGCAGCTTTTTTCTCTTCCATTCCCGCCGCAGCATCCTAGTGACTGCTGGCAAAATGTCAATAAAGATCTTTTAGCTGAGTTCCTCTGGCTCGCACACCTCATCATCAAAATCACTACATGGTACGTTGACAAGAATTTCATGTGAGGAATGACGCAAACTGCTGTCTGGATCACACTTTCAAGTGAAGGCATCAGCCAGCGCTTTTAGGAGAGGAGAATTGGTAAAAGAATTGCAATTAAAATCATCTGCAAGACTTACTCTAGTGAACGTCCTGTAGCCTTCAAGAATAGGTCTGTATCCCGTGCACCGACACAAGTTACCTGAACATAAAGCACACATGTGAGACTTTTAATAAAAGGTAAAAACTCAGTGAATAACTGTCAAATGGGTTTGTTTGAAACCTGGTTATTGATGGGGAAAGATGGGAGTATAAATGGAACAGTATCTATTTGGGAAGCAGTGGTGTCAAAAGAGTGTACATAAAAAAATGACCACATGAACAGTGCCTCGTACAACAACAACATCAACAAGATTGCATTTATAGAGCGCCTTTCATGTCGGGAGGACGTCCCAAGGTTGGGTCGGGTACCAAGCAGGGGGGAAGTGGTCAGGGTGAGGCGTGGGAAGGGAGGGAGCGAGGAAGGGGTAGAAAGTCGAGAGGGGAGGTGAAGGCACAGTTGAAGAGAAAGGTCTTGAGACTGGCCTTGAAGGAGGAAAGGGAGGAAGTGAGGCAAAGGCACTGGGGGATGGAGTTCCAGAGCCTAGGGGCTGAGAGGCTGAAGGCCCGGCCACCGATGGTAGGGCGGTTGGGGCGGGGGATGTGGAGCAAACCGGAGCCAGAGGAACAGAGGGTACGGGCAGGTAAGTAGGGGGATAGTAGGTCGGAGAGGTAGGAGTGAGGAAAGCCGTGAATGGCCTTGTAGGTGAGGATGAGGATCTTGAATTCATACCTCATAAAAGCCACTTTGGATGCAATGTGGATTTCCTGCAGGGAATTCATGTGTATTGCACTGATATTCAACACCTTGCAGCTCCAAACTAAAATTATCTCAGTGTGACCCACATGGGATTCCTTAAAGAGAGATAATTTGAACCACAACATAGTTTTGTGCAGGAATGTAGTCCATCAGGGTGCCAACTGGTTCTGCACAAGAGGTAGCATTGTATTGTTGTAGTGCTCAAGTGATATCTGTGGAGCTCTGTAGCGTACTGGTTAGAGCACTCGCCTCACAAGCAATAGGACCAGGTTTGATTCCCGGGCAAAACCTTAGGCAAGTTTCCTTACTCAACTTGTCTCTGTTTACCTAGCAGTAATTAGGAACCTAGCCGATTTGGCTCAGTATCCACTTGTCCATTATAAAGAATTTTTCCACCACGGCATTTCTGTTTATTTACTGTTTATTTACTAGGGCATTTGTATACCGTTAACAAATTGAGAGGTACAAACCTAATTGTTGTCTTTGTAGAGGTACATTAGAGTGCATTTTTAAGAATCCAGCCTGATTATTCATTGCCATGTTTAGTCACGATATTAGGTCTGTTTACAAGCGAGACACCTGGGTTCAATTCCAGGCAGGGCGAAACCTTGGGCAAGTTTCCTTACTCTAATAATAATCCCTCCAAAACAAAACAATAATAAATTGGTCATTTTCAATCCACGACTGTTTGTGGGACACTGCTGTGCGCAATTGGCTGCCGAGTTTCGTCCACAAATATACAGTCAATTCACTTTACAGTCTATTCTGTGAAGCGCTTTGAGATGTCTAGAAGACGTGAAAAGCGCTATATCAAATGCAAGGATTATTATTATTATTATCACTTTACTGGGGATTATAATTCATTCAAAAATAAACAAAATAATAATTTGTTCGACAACTGGAATCAACAAAGACACAGGGACAGTTTACCTAGCAGTAAGTAGGAACCTGGTTGTTAATTGATTGAGATTGCTTTTCCAGGGGTACCAATCCCTTCAAAAATATTAGTAATAAATATTTGGTCACTCAATCCCTGACTGTTTGTGGGGCACTCCTGTGTGCAATTGGCTGCCGCGTTTTGCCCACAAAATATACAGTTTACAGTGTAAATATACACTTTACAGTGTATAAAATGAAGCGCTTTGAGATGTCTTGATGGCGTGACAAGATGCTATATCAAATGCAAGAATTATTATTATTATCATTATTATAGTACTCCCAAAGGCCTTACCTTGTAGTGTGTCTTCAATATCCGCTATAGTTGGCTCCAGGTTGTTCCGCACCAAAGCATACATGGACATAACAATCCCAGGAGTGCAGAATCCACACTGGGAGCCATGGGCTTTCGATATTCGTTCCTGTTAAGCAATCAGAGTAAATCACTGTGCTCTAGCATGAGTCATGGTCCTCAAAAAAGGAAGCAAAAGTAAATTCAATGCAGAGACTCTTAATATTATAACCACAAATCTACATTCTGCTTCATTTTTTCCAGCAAGACTACTTTGTCCTTAAAAATTAAGATGACTTAGAGGAAAGTGGGACATTCTTAAATTCTCAATTTGGATGTGAGAAATTGAATTCCGAAACAAAGCTCAAATTAGAAATTTTACACAATTTTGCACAATCTTGAATTTTAAAACTGGCTGAGACTAGATGGAATTTTGGGGCATCAGAAATACAGAATCAGCTTCAACATCAATAACAAATTACATTTACACAATGCCTTTTGTGGGAGAATGTCCCAAGGCGCTGGACAGTCAGGGATTTGGACCTGAGCTGGGGGTTGAGATCAGGTGGGGTGGAGGGCAGGGAGAGTGGCCGAAGGCACAGTCAAAGAGGAGAGTCTGAGATGGGCCTTGAAGGAGGCAAGGGAGGGTGCGAGGCGAAGGGACTGTGGGATGGAGTTCCAAAGGGTGGGGACAGAGAGGCTGGAGGGGCGGGCCGGGCGGAGGACGTGGAGCAGACCGGAGTCTGATGAGTGGAGGAAGTGAACAGGTTGATATAGGGTTAGCAGATCACAAAGGTAGAGAGGAACAAGGCTGACTGAAGATGAGGATGAGGATTTTGAACTCTGGGGAATGGGGAGCCAGTGGAGCCGGCGAGCGTGGGGGTGATGTGGGTGGGGGTGATAGCTTCCACAGAATCCAAACCACTCTCCCTGCATTACATTACAATATTTCAAGTTTTAGCTCATTTAAACGTATTCACTAATGTGAATCATTGAAATTATCATCAGGCATGTTACTGGAACTCAGACCAACTTGGACTGGGTGTAGCTGCGTATCCGTGCTCCCAATTCCTTCCACAGTGGTGACGGCCATGTGGTGCACTGAGCAGACGGGTGCGAGGCAGGCATTGAGAGAAAAGTGCCTGGAAGATATTGTTAAGGAAACTCAACAGATCAAAATGGGAATAAATGTACTAGGCCATTTATAAGCTTCCCTTGCCTCTGACCTCCATTTCGTAATCACTTTTCTTTTTGGGTCTCTGCCTTTGATCGATCTTACTCTGGTCTTTGCTCCACTGATCCCAATTTCAAATATGGCACCCACATACTCTCCCTGTATCCTCAGATATAAATGGGGTGGGGGGTGAAACATTGGGCAGATTTCCTGACTCCACACACCTCTGTTTACCTAGCAGTAAGTAGGAACCCGGTCGTTAGTCGATTGACGGATCACTTTTCAGCACCTTGGGACATACTCCTGACCTGAAAGGCACTTTATAAATATAATTTTGTTGTTGTCTCCACAGGAAGTGCACCGCTCTGAGACACTGTTTGCAGGATTGAACCACCATTTATGTTGCTATTTTCCTTATAAGCATTTATTCCTCCTAAATGTCCAGGAGTATGTTATGGAGATATGGTGCTCTTAAGCTTGTAATAAATTCATAGGTTAGGAGGTGCCCGAATATTTCTTCAGTGTGAGCCAATGTCCAACATTGACTCTTCAACATAAGCCACAGTGTAACGTCACAAAGACAGGAGAATTCCATGTATCTGCCAACAACTGTACATCTATTTACTACCATTGGGCTCCGATGCAGAATTGTATTGCTGGGAAACTATAACGGTTGCACACATGGACAGAAGGTCTTCAGGAATACAATTTTTCCAACACAGCTTGACTAATCCAATAATGCAAGTTAAGTGTGTTTAATTGACAATTTGCACAGTATAAGATTACAGATAGGTCAGAATTATAGGCAGAAAGGAAGAGAGAGGGAGAGAAAGAGAAAGTTAAAGAGACAGAGAGAAATAGAAAGTTAGAGAGAATCAGGCATAGAGCATTTGAAAGAGAGGGGCTTCAAGTGGATATGGTTGGATGGTGGGACTAAATTTGATCTCCTTGCTCTGTGAGCTGGTATTGATTTAGTGGGCCGAATGGCCTTGCTCTGCGCTGTAGATTTCTATGAATCTGCAAGAGGAAGAGATTCAGAGAAAGTAAAAGTCAGGGAGAGAGAAAAAAAAGGTCAGTGAGTGACACAGAAAGGTTCAAACTGAAGAAATCAAAAAGCCAAGACATGAAAAGTTAAACAGTCATAGAGAATGAAAGAGTCAAAGAGGAATGAGACTCAAAGAGAGAAGGTGGAAGAAACGGGAAGGGACAGAGAGAGTAGGGCATATAGTGTGGTAACATAGTGGCAGTGATCAAAGAATTATTTTGCGAGCAGTGTAACCAAGATTTTTCTGGATAACCATTATCTGCTCTGTTTCCAACCTACCATGTAAACAAACCTCATGAGTGCAGATATGGGGCTCTCTATTGTCTATTTTGTTTAATCGAAAACGGAATTAATAAGATTAAAAACTGTCATGAAGTAATGAAATTGTGGAAGTAGGCTCAATGGGCCAAACAATCTTCCCTGCTTCAAAACACAAAAAACATTGACTCCGTTGAGTCTGAATTGGGACTGAAAAACGTTTTCCCGAAACATTGACTCACTTTCCTTTCCCAATAGGTGCTGCCTGACCTGCTGAGTGTGCCCAGTGACTTCTGTTTTTGTTTTCAATTTTCCCTGCTTGCTATTCCTCTCAAACACCAACTCCAGCCATTTGGCTTTTATATTTTCCTTTGAAAGGATACAGTATCTTCCCTTCAAGGTGGTCATACTTTGAGACCATCACGGTGCAGGCTCCACATCCTCCTTCTCCACAGCCCAGCTTGGTTCCAGTTAGCCCCACTGATCAATCCGTTATTGAGGAAAAAAGCTTTGTCAATCTGTTCACATTTTACAGCTATACCTCGTTGTACCTGTGGAAACACTACTTCAGTGTGCGAGCAGTAAACTTATGGAACAGGCTCCCTAAGGAGACTGTGGAAGCAGAAAATATTGTTTGTTTCAAGAACCAACTAGATACAACAACAACAACAAGATTGTATTTGTAGAGCACCTTTCACGGCGGGAGGACGTCCCAAGGTGCTGAACAGTTGGGTCGGGACCCGAGCAGGGGGGAAATAGTCAGAGTGAGGGGAGGGAAGGGAAGGAGCGAGGAGGGGGTAGAGAGTCGAGAGGGGAGGTGAAGGCACGGTTGCAGAGGAAGGTCTTGAGACCGGCCTTGAAGGAGGAAAGGGAGGAAGGGAGGCGAAGGCACTGGAGGATAGAGTTCCAGAGCCTAGGGGCTGAGAAGCTGAAAGCCCGACCACCGATGGTAGGTCGGTTAGGGCAGGGGATATGGAGCAGACCGGAGCCAGAGGAACGGAGGGTATGGGCAGGTAAGTAGGGGGATAGTAGGTAGGAGGGAGCGAGGCCATGAATGGCCTTGTAGGTGAGGATGAGGATCTTGAATTCGATCCTCTGGGGGATGGGGAGCCAGTGGAGGCGAGCGAGGGTGGGTGTGATGTGGTCCCGAAGCCTGGTGCGGGACAGTACACGAGCTGCAGAGTTCTGAATGACCTGCAGCTTGTGGAGGGAGGTGCTGGGAAGGCCAACGAGGAGAGAATTCCCGTAGTCCAGCCTTGAGGTGATAAAGGCGTGGACCAGGGTTTCAGCAGTGTGAGGGGTGAGGTAGTGCCGCAGTCTGGCGATGTTCCGGAGGTGATGGAAGGCGGTGCCAGTTGTGGCGCGGATATGAGGAAGAAAGGACAGCTCAGGGTCGAACAGAACCCCGAGGTTCGTGACTGGCTTTGAGAGGTGCAGAGTGCAGCGTTGGATGCTGATGCTGTCAGCGCCTGAGGTGCGGAGGCGCTGACGTGAGCCAATCAGGAGGGCCTCAGTTTTGCACACGTTGAGCTGAAGAAAGTTGTCTTTTATCCAGGACTCGATGTCAGACAGGCAGCTGTCAGGACATCGGGGGTCGTGGAGTTGAGGGTAGAGGATGAAAGGTAGAGTTGGGTGTCATCCGCATACATGTGGAAGTTAATCCCAAGTGTGCGGATGATGTCACCGAGGGGGAGCATATAGAGGGTGAAGAGGAGGGGACCGAGGACAGAGCCCTGAGGGACATTGCACGAGACAGTGCAGGAGCTGGAGGAAAAGCCGTTAGTGGAAACAAAATGAAGACGGTGGGAGAGGTACGACCTAAACCACTCAAGGACAGGGCCTTGAAGGTTGAGGTGGGAGGACAAGCGGTGGAGGATAATGGAGTGGTTGACCGTATCGAATGCAGCCGATAGGTCGAGGAGGATGAGGAGGCAGAGGGAGCCCTGGTCGCAGATGGTCAAGATGTCATTAGTGACCTTGACCAGGGCAGTTTCTGTGCTATGGGCAGCACGGAAACCCGACTGGAGGGGTTCAAATAGTGAATGGGTGGAGAGGAAAAAGCGCAGCTGGGAGGTGACAACTCTTTCGAGAACCTTGGACAGGAAGGGGAGGTTGGAGATGGGCCGGTAGCTTGATAGCTGCGGCGCATCAAGGGAGGGTTTTTTCAGTGTGGGAGTGATGATAATAATAATAATCCTTGCATTTGATATAGCGCTTTTCACGTAGGGAGGACGTCCCAAAGCGCTTCACAGAATACACTGTAAAGTGAATTGACTGTATATTTGTGGGCAAACGCGGCAGCCAATTGCGCACAGCAATGTCCCACAAACAGTCGTAGATTGAAAATGACCCATTTATTATTGTTTTTAGTTTTGGAGGGATTATTATTAGGCGTGTGGAGTAAGGAAACTTGCCCAAGGTTTCGCCCTCTGCCTGGAAATGAACTCAGTGCTCTAACCACTGAGCCACAGGACTCCACAAATGATGGCAGTTTTGAGGGGAATGGGGACAGAGCCAGAGGAGAGGTATAGGTTAATGGTGTAGATTTCTGCTAGAAAATAATATCTGGGGATACAGTATATAGCTTGTGACATGACACGTCAAGCGACTGCCAGGATGGTGGAAGGCAAACTAAATGGACCTTGGTCTTCTTTCGCTGAGCAAGTTCTTATTTTCTTATGTAAATCTTGTGGCTCACCAAAATGAGAGAATGATCCTCATTTCACAATATTGGTGAACCTTCCATGGACTTTGAGTACTTTGTTATATAACAACTTGTGTTTATTTAGCACCGTTCACAAACATCATAAACTAAAAGCTATTGGCCCACACTGAGAAAAGACAAGCAAGTTTAGAAATTCCTAAAGTAATGAATATGAATTACACAGTCACAGTGGAACCATGGTTTTTTACAAAAATAAACAGAAATTTGGACAAATATTTGAGAAGAAAATAAATTAAAAGCATACGTGGGGAAAATGCAGGAAGTTGGACTAAATAAATAGTACTGATGTGGGCAGAAGTCACATGTTGAAGCTAATATGTTGGAAAATTCCATTATTCTATGAAAATAATAAAATCCCACTGGGAATGATCTTGCAAATCAGCATTTGAATCCAAGAGCAAGGAGATGAATGCAATAGCCAACTTCAAGAGCAACAGCACCTAGAACTATATCTGGCTTCATAAGCCTCTATGCAGCAAAAACAACAGCAAATTACATTTACACAGCACCTTTCACATCAAGAGGTCGTCCCAAGGCACTGCATAGTCAGAGATTTGGACCCTAGCAGGGGATTGGGATTAGGCAGGGAGGGTAGACTGAATCTGTGGTTGAAGAGAAGGGTCTTGAGACAGGCCTTGAAGGAGGCAAGGGAGGGAGCGAGGTGAAGGGACTATGTGATGGGGTTCCAAAGGATGGAGGCAGAGAGGCTGGGGCAGGCTGAGCAGGGAACGTGGGGCAGGTCGGAGTCTGCTGAGCGGAGGGAGTCTCCATACAGCATAAAACACCCCCACCACCTGCCCCCCCGCCCATATCCTATACACCTCCACACATGAATACATTGCCTAATCGATTTCACCCATAAAATCATGTGTTATTTGTATAACTTACGATGTCAGTGAGTAGAGGGGCAAGGAGGTGGAGCTGGGAGGTAAAGAGAGGGGTAGGGATGGGGTCGCGGGAACAGGTGGTCGGTTTCATATGGGTTATGGTGGTGATGAAAGAGGAGGGGGAGACAAGTTCAAAGGTGTGGAGGGAGGGATGGGTAGGGGCTGGGGTGGGAGAAGTAGATGGGGAGGGGGTAGCAGATGCAGTAGCAGAGGCAGCTGAGCGGATTCCCTTGACTTTGGATTCGAGGAAGTCCAGCATCTGCTCAAGTTGGCATTTGATGTGAGGATGGGTGAGGCGTGAGAGGGTGGGCAAAGGAGACGGTTCCTGATGGAGCAGAGGAACCTGGGGTTGTCCTTGGACTCCAAGATTGTCCTGGAGTAGAATGACAATTTAGCAGAGGTGAGCGTGGAGTGGTAGGATTTGATATGGTTCAGCCAGATCTGCAGATGGATCGTTAGGTTTGATTTAAGCCATGTGCGCTCAGGGAACGTGCACTCTCCCTTATGCTTTAAGGAAGTGGAGGTGGCTGGTGTACCAAGGTGATTTATGTGAATAGGAGATGGTTCAGGAAGAGAGTTGAGCAATGGAATCAAGAGTGGAGGAGAGGGAGTTGTGGAGAAGAGTGACTGAGGAGGATAGGTCATTGCGGGAGGACGCCCAGAGGGAAGGAGTTTAGGTGACTCCAAGGCAGCCGAGAGGGAGGGAGATTTTTTCCAGGGGCTGTAGGAGATGGAGGTAAGTTGGGTGGTGGTGGGAAGAGTGATTGAGGAGTTAAGGGAGATGAAGTGATGGTCCGAGATCACTTTGTTGATGATGGTGAGGTCCGAGACAGTGAGGCCCCGAGTGATCACCAGGTCAAGGGGGTGAGGACATGGATGGCAGAGTAGATGTGGAAGCAGAGTTTGAGGAGAAGATAAGGGAGGAAAAGTCAGAAGAGCGGGTGAGGTGAAGGTTGAAATCACCTAGGATAAGGAAGCGATCGGAGCAGAGGGAGAGGAAAGATAGAAGGGTGGAATCATTATTGATACGGTCAACTCTCCGTGGATTGGTTTGTGGGGTCCTTCAGACCCCCTGTGGGGTTTCTAGCCAGTGCTATCTTCCTATCTTCAAATGAAAGTGCAAAGTGGCAAGTCACCGATTTCGCAAGCTCCTTTTAGGATACATTTTCTTCTCAAATAGTGTAGTAGCGTCATCTCGGGATCCACCTGTTCCTCTGCAACCTAGGGAAAATAAAGACACAAGGGACATCAGTGCTTGAGAAATCATTTTAGGGTCTTTGTGTTGGGAGTTTTTCTGCTTTAGAGGGTCACTGAATCTTACAGTTGATTTTAGTCAGGCTGTAGGAGACAGTTCTACATGTGGGGGTGGGGGGGCGGTGTGTGTGTGTGCGTGTATGGGTTGTGGGGAGGGCAATTGATCAGAATTTCTCGTTCCTAATCGATATGCAGCTACTCCCACTACATGATATACAAAGTCTTGGCTTTCCCAATTTACTAATATCCTAATAATAACATATGATAATAATAAATAATATCCTAATACTTTCTGTAGTTAAGTGAGCAGGATGTGTTCCTCTGAGGAGAGAATGAAACTCCATTCCACACAAAGGGAAACCTCCATGTATAATAATAATAATAATAATAATCCTTGCATTTTGATATAGCGCTTTTCACGTCGGGAGGACGTCCCAAAGCGCTTCACAGAACACACTGTAAAGTGAATTGACTGTATATTTGTGGGCGAACGCGGCAGCCAATTGCGCACAGCAATGTCCCACAAACAGTCGTAGATTGAAAATGACCAATTTTATTATTGTTTTTTGTTTTTTTGGAGGGATTATTATTAGGCGTGTGGAGTAAGGAAACTTGCCCAAGGTTTCGCCCTGCCTGGAATTGAACTCAGGTCTCTCGCTTGCAAAGCGAGTGCTCTAACCACTGAGCTACAGGACTCCATGTATATGTAGAACACTCAGAATTGGGCTTGAATTTGGCATGGGATTGATTATAGATCAACAATGGTTTTACCAGACGTGCGCCCTCAAAGCCAGTTCACATCTCAAAAAGGCAATTAGTTTAGGTTTGATTCATTTTGGTTAGTTACTGGCCTGGGTTGAATTTCATAAGCCTGAGCTGAATTCCCCCCCGAACATACACACACCCACACACAAACACACACATAATTGCACCCACCTCACATTCCTCCACCCTGCTAACTTGCAATTTGTTTTACTAAAACTTTGGCCTTCAAACACAGTTAACCACCCACATTTGCAGCAAAACCACGCTTCTTTCAAAGCGTTCATTGGAGTGTAATTGGCAACGTTATTAATCTGATGACACCTACACAGCCGTCACTGAAGTTAGTCAGCAGCTGTGCCAGAGTGGACAACCCCAAGTCGGTTTACAATTCACTGTACACAACTCGTCTGTTCTGCTGCCGGTGACACAGGCAGCCATGTCAGTGCATTTAATAATAATAATCCTTGCATTTGATATAGCGCTTTTCACGTCTTCATCTGTGTTAGGCTCACATTTCTAACTGTGACAGTTGCTTTTCATATGTTCTTACCACAACCAGTAACAGTGTGTCAAGCTGAACTCTCGTTCTCAAAGATGAGCCTCATCAAAAACTCACTCAGATCTATAATGATCCAGGATAGATGAAATGCACTTGCAATCCTATCTATTGAGCAGAATTTGACACATACACTAAGTTTTGATCATGTAGTTGACATGTTTGCAACTATGAAGTCATGGAAGAGAGTATTTCAAAAAGGTATTATTGCATATTTTACAATCATAGTTCAAAGGACCCCCAAATGTCACCTGTTCAATAGATGAGATAAATGTTCACATATAGCGCCTTTCACGCCGAGAGGATATACTAAAGTGCTTCATAGGATATATGATAAAGTGCAGTGACTGTTTTTTTGTTTGTGGTTGAAAGCAGCAGCCAATTTGTGCACAGCAATGTCTCATAAATAGCCATGAAGTAAATGATCGATTTTATTTGGAGGATTATTGGCCAGGAAAGCTGAAGAAATTCCTTCTTTTGTTTTAGATTGCTTTCAGATGTTGGTTAGCTCATTGCTTGGCATAACCAAACAAGATAACAACAACAACAACAAAATTACATTTGTAAAGCACCTTTCACGTCGGGAGGACATCCCAAAGCACTGGACAGACACAGTTACTAATCTGAACTGGGGGTCAGGGTCAGGGATGGTGGAGGGCAGGGAGGGAAGCAGGAAGATCGAAAGCATAATCGAAGAGGAGGGTCTTGAAATGGTTCTTGAAGGTGGCAGGGGAGGGAGCGAAGCAGAGGGACTGCGTGATGGAGTTCCAGAGGGTGGGGGCGGAGTGGCAGAACCCCCACCCGCCAATAGTGGGGCAAGCGAGGCAGGATAATGTGAAGCTGGAGCCCGCTGAGCGGAGGAAGCGAGCAGGATGGTAGGCCGTTGGGAGGTCGTAGAGGTAGGGGGGAGCAAGACCATTGAGGGCTTTGAAGGTGAAGACCGGGATCTTGAACTGTATCCTCTGTGGGATAGGAAGCAGTGGAGTTGGGCGAGGATGGGGGTGATCGGGTCGCATGACATGAGAGGACATGTGCTGCAGAGTTCTGGATGATTTGCAGCCTGTGGAGGGATGAGTTGGGGAGCCCGACAACCAAAGAGCTTGCATAGTCGAGCCTCGATGTAATGCAGATACATATGAGGGTTTTGGCTGCCTGCGGTGTGAGACAGTGGTGAAGCCGGGTGGCGTTGCAGAGATGGGGGAAGGCAGAGCAGGTCATGGTACAGATGTGGAATAGAAAGGGTATTTGAGGGTCAAACAAGACCCCAAGGTTCCGGACTGGCTTAGCAAGGTGGAGTGTGCAACCATGGATAGTGATGTTGTCAGCGCTTGAAAGTTATCTCTCATCCAGGACTTGATATCTTCAGTTAGGACAGCAGTGGTCCTGGAGTCAAGGGTGGAGGTAGAGAGGTAGAGTTGGGTGTCAACGTCATACATGTGGAGGTTAATCCCATGTCTGAGGATGATGTCACCAAGAGGGAGCATATAGATATTGAGGAGGAGGGGACCAAGGACAGAGACCTGAGGAACACCACACAAGATGGTCTGGGGGCTAGAGAAGAAGCCGTTTGTGGAGATGAAGTGGAGGCGGTGTGGGAGATACGATCTGAACCAGTGAAACATGAAGGTTGAGGTGAGAAGAGAGGTGGTGGATGAGGATAAAGTGGTCGATCGTGTCGAAAGCAGCAGAGAGGTCAAGGAGGATGAGGAGGCAGAGGGAGCCCTGGTCGCAGAAGGCAGCAAAAAACCAAATGAGCACAAAGCTGGGCTGTATTGCCAAATTAATTTGGCTCAAATCCCCCAAAGTTACAATGAAGATGTACATTGTGGAATTTTAAGCACACCTTTAGCACTGTGTACAGCTCTGGTTACCATCACATGTGGAGTCCTAGAGCAGTCTGTCAGGACTTCAGTTGCACTGGAATCAAGCGTGGAGGCAGAGAGATAGAGTTGGGTGTCAGCTGCGTACATGTGGAAATTGACTCCATTTCTGCAGGTGATGTCGTTAAGTGGGAGCATATAGAGGTTGAAGAGGAGGGGACCAAGGACAGAGTCCTGAGGAACACTGCATGGAGACTCTGCAGGGGTTGGAAGAGAAAATGTTGGTGGAGACAAATTGCAGTTGGTGCGATAGATAAGACTGAACCATTCAACAACAACAACAAGATTACATTTGTATAGTGCCTTTCACGTCAAGCTCAAGTTCAGAACCTTGAAGATTGAGGTGAGAGGAGAGGCGGTGAAGGAGGATGGAGTTGTCCACGGTATCAAAGGCAGCAGAGAGGTTGAGGAGGACGAGGAGCAGAGGGAGCCCCAGTCACAGACAGATAGGATGGTATTTTTCACCTTGATCAGAGCAGTTTCCGTGTTGTGAGCGGCATGGAAACCTGATTGGAGGGGCTCGTAAAGGAAGTGGTAGGAAAGGAATGAGCAAAGCTGGGAAGTAATGACTCTTTCAAGGACCTTGGAAAGAAAAGGGAGGTTGGAGATGCGCCGGTAGTTAGAAAACAGGAATGGGTCCAGGGAAGGTTTTTAAAAGATGGTGGTGATTATAGCTTTGCAGTCTACCACCTTCATTAGCTTTGTATCATCTGCAAATATAGCCACTGTGCTTGTGACTCCTAGCTCCAGATGAATTATGAAGATATTAAACAAAAGAGGTACCTGTGGAACATTGTCAACATTCTCTCAACCTGATGACATTACTTAGAGTCCTGTAGCTTAGTAGTTAAAGCACTCTTGCTCTAAGCACGAAAAGCGAGAGGACCTGGGTTCTTTTCACCATATATATATATATATATAAGTAACTTGGATGAAGGAATAGAGAGTTTAATATCCAAATTTGTATAATGACACAAAGTTAGGAGGCACAGTAAATTATGTAGATGGGAGCAGGAAGATACAAAGTGACTTAGATAGATTAAGTGAGTGGGCAAAACTGTAGCAGATGAAGTTCAACATGGGGAATTGTAAGGTCATCCACTATGGATCCAAAAATAGCAAACAGAATATTTTCTGAAGAGGGAGAAACTAAGAACTGTGGAAGAGCAAACAGATTTGTGTGTCCACGTACACAAATCACTAAAAACAAGATTACAGGTGCAAAGAGTCTATTGGCTATCACCCAGGATGCCTTGGTATATTTCAAACAGCAATCAAATGTTCCAGAAGATTTGGTAGTTAAATGGTTAAAAGTAGCTTTGCTGGACGGGCTGAGGTCAGCTTCTGATTACATTTCATATTTTTCTGGGAAGATGTTCACTCCTCTGAGATAATGAGCGATCGGGTCCTTGAGCATAGATGTAAGAACAATGGTCCACAGAAAGAAAAGGCTGCAGCCTCAGACACCTGCTGATCTCAAGGCTGAGAAACAAGTAGGGTGTGGAAGGCTGCCCAGAAGTTGTCCATATCTCTCTGTGTGCAAAGCAGCCTGCTTTGGAGGAGGCTATCTCTGTGACAGGGGAGGTGGAGCTAGAAACACATAAAAGAAAGATCTAACTTTGAAATTGTTCTAATGTGTAGAGGGTCTGCGCACTTCCCAGTGGAATTGATATTGATTCTACTGTATCTATGTATATGTACAGGGGTGAGGGAATTTACCTCCAGTAAGAAAGTCACCATTAAAAGTGAAAGAGGAGGAGTGGTTGGCAGCATGAGTGAGGTGCTGGGCTAAGAGCTGATTGTTTCTGTTGAGTTACAGGAGCCACTCTCTGTAATGCTGTGTGATAGTTCTGTCATCTCTCCAGTGTAGGTCAAGGTTTTATCCCAGGTCTACTGTTTGGTCTGAAGTATGAAACAGTGCCTGGAGATGTGTTGTCGTCCCTGTATTGTCAGTACTACTGTTGTTGTGTATGACTGGTTGGGTCTGTTTACTGAACGCCAGTTCCTGTTAAATGTTGGTTATGGAAACGAGTGCTGGGTCTGAGACTCAGTAGATGGACTAGGCAGCATGAGAGAGGTGCTGGTGTATGCTGTATATCCTGATGAAGATAGGGCCACTCTCTGTGACTTTGAGTATTCAGTGTTAAGGGCTGCAAGGTACTGTGAGGATCAGCTATATCTGAAGGGCGATTCCAGAGGCTGGACTCCATACTGATGCCAGTTACAAGACAGTATTGGGGATTGTCTGTTTTCAGAAGTTTTGTGTTACATAATCAGTTGTCCTTGAGGGATTTCCAGGGGCTGATTTCTGCTGTGTATTTTGAGGTGTGTTGTTTGTCTGGAGTACTGAGCAACCCCTGTGTTCATCCTGTGTAGTAAATGTTATGCTCACATAGATGTGTTATACTGTTAGTATGTTGTAGTATAATTTGATTACAGATTGTTAAACCTTATGTTTCATCTTATGCAATAAACTATATTTTTACCACTGCCTGTCGAATTATTAATAGTGTGAGGTCGTCCACTATGGTCCTACCTTTCACACCGCCTCCACTTTGTTGCGGCAAACGGCTTCTCCTCCAGCCCCCACACCGTCTCGTATAGTGTTGCTCAGGGCTCTGTCCTCGGTCCCTTCCCCTTCACCCTCTACATGCTCCGCCTTGGTGACATCATCCGCAGACATGGGATAAATTTCCACATGTATACGGATGACACCCAACTCTACCTCTCTGCCTCCACCCTGAACTCCAGGACTACTGGCATCCTGACCGATTGTCTGTCCAACATCAAGTCCTGGACGAGGACCAACTTTCTCCTACTCAACTTCAGCAAGATCAAGGCCCTCCTGATTAGCTCGCGCCAGCGCCTCCACACCTCAGGCGCTGGCAGCATCAGCTTCCACGGCTGCACACTCAACCTTACTAAGCCAGTCAGTAACCTGGGTATTTTGTTTGACCCTGAACTGTCCTTTCTTCCCCATGTCCGCGCCATGACCGGCACTGCCTACCACCACCTCCGCAACATTGCCAGACTCTGCCACTGCCTCATCCCTCAGGCTGCCGAAATCCTCACCCACGCATTCGTCACATCAAGGCTCGATTACGGGAACTCCCTCCTCATCGGCCTTCCGAACTCTTCCCTTCACAAGCTGCAGATCATTCAAAACTCTGCAGCTCGTGTACTCTCACACACCAGGCTCCGTGACCCCCTCACTCCCACCCTCGCCTGACTCACTGGCTTATCATCCCCCCGAGGATCGAGTTCAAGATCCTCGTCCTCGCCTTTAAGGCCATCCATGGCCTTGCCCCCTCCTACCTCTCTGACATGCTGACTCCCTATCAACCCTATCTCTCCGTTCATCAGGCTCCGGTCTGCTCCATTGCTCCTGCCTGACCCGCCCTACCATCGGTGGCCAGTCTTTCAGCCTCTCTGCCCCCACACTCTGGAACTCCATCCCACGGTCCCTTCACCTCACTTCCTCCCTCGCCTCCTTCAAGGTCGGTCTCAATACCCTTCTCTTCGACCGTGCTTTTGGTCGCCCTCCCACCTCTCTGTCTTCCCTCACCCCTACACCACCCCTCCCCCATTCTCGGGCCCCAACACCTGACTGTTCAGCGCTTTGGGACGTCCTCCCGACATGAAAGGCGTTCTATAAATATAATTTTGTTGTTGTTGTTGTATGGATCCAAATATAGCAAAACAGAATATTTTCTAAATGGGGAGAAACTAAGAACTGTGGAGGAGCAAACGGATTTGGATATCCACGTACACAAATCACTAAAAATAAGCTCACAGGTGCAAAGAGCAATTAAAAAGACAAATGGGATGTTGGCCAATATATTCTAAGACTCAGATGACGCGAGGCTGTAAATTGAAAAAGGAATAAAAAGACTGTGGGGCAAAGTCTGTGGCATTCCTTGTAATAATTAACAAATCTCACATTGGCTGCCACATTCAGCCACAAACAAAAAAATTGTTTCTGCACCTTACAGGTTACAACTGAAGAACTTCCCCTTCAACAGTGGCTGTGGTCACCTTCTCCGTCCCCCTGGCTTGGATTCGGGCTCTGCCATTTTTAAGTGCTCTGAGATCACTCTTTTAAGCGTTCCTTTTTTTAAGAATTGCAGAAAACCAGCTTCCAAATTAAGGCTGAAATTTAAGAATTTTCCACAATTCTCAGCACTCTCAACAAAACTGACTGAAACTGAGTGGAATTTGGGGGCTTTGGAGTGAATTGCTTAACCAGGGCTCTGAAGCCTTTCCTGACCATGGGACAGCACTAGCATTGCTGTTCTCATGAACCATATTTTGTTCAACCCCCTCATTTTATTTTCGAAGCAAAGAACAAAATTAATCAACTGTTTAAGAGAATCAAAGTTTCTGTCTCTGTTCCTGAAGGGCATCATTCACTCTTTAACTGCAACAAGGGAAACAAATGGGCATGTTCATGCTGGAAAAGAGAAGATTGAGAGGCGACATGATTGCTGTCTTTATGATTCTAAAGGGGTAAAACAATATATATACAGGCTGTTTCAACTTGTCCAGAATAGTAAAACCAGAGGACACAGCCTGCGATTGAAGGGGGGTAAATTCAGGACGAAACTACGCAAACACTATTTCAGTGAGCGAATAGTGAACTCTAGGTACTCTAGGGAGACATCAAAGCAGGAAGTGTTGATTCTTTCAAACACAGATTAGATAGTTTCTTTTAGGAAATAACATTATGGGATATAGGTAGTACAGAACATATGTGCATGCGACCACCAGGAAGGTGGAAGGCAAACGAGATGTATCTTGGTCTTTTTTTGTCTAGCATTTCTTATGTTCTTAATTAGGCTGCTCTTGCTCCTACCTTGTGTCCATTGACAAAGAAGACCAGTTCATCAGGGACATCTGCCCCTGTATTTAGCTCTCCTTGTTGCATCGTGCCAAGCCTCGGACAACTCCAGTTCCTGCAGTCTTTTGAAACCACGAGCAACAGGATACTGATAACTAGATGGTAACAACCCTTTACTGATTGTAATGATTGCTTTGGTTCCTCCCTTCACTTGACTCCACCATTCCTCCCTGCCCAAGTAAATGATTCATCAAAAAGGCATCTAAATCGGGGAAGAAGTGGAACAAGGGAAAGAATTTGGAAAATAAGATCAAAACAATGGGTGTCTCTAATAGAAACAAGTCAGCAGGAAAAACTGGTTCAAGGCTTTTTAAAATCAGAGAATGTTTTTTAAAAAAAAGTGTTTCAAGATAACCTTACGGGGGGAGGGTGAGAAGATGAAACTTTTATTATTTCCTCTCCCGGCTGAAGGACAAGAGGGCACAAATATATAGTGTGGGTATGGTGAGAGCCATTTTAGAATGCACACGGTGAAGTATTTTGTTACATGAGTGGTTGACTCATGTTGGACTCATTTGAGAAACAGCTTGATCGTGCATTGGGAAGGTAATCAGATGGGTATTCCAGAAGGATGAGATCAAACAGGCCAAAGAGCTTTCTTCATTCAAAATGTTATTGTTATTATTACAACTATAAGGGAAGTAGCTTCTTGGCTACATTATAAAATCAGTTTGACTGAGATTCTCAGAAGACATGTTCAAATGTACTGAGCTCTGCTTGCAATTCTGTTTCTTCTGTTGTGTGCTGTGTCAGATGATTGAATGCCCTCAGTAGTTGCCTACTTTCTAACGGTCGATCATTTCCAAATAGCTTCTCTCAAGCCTGACTTCCCACAGATACAAATGAAGTCCTGTAGCTTAGTGGTTAGAGAACTCGCTTCACAAGTGAGAGGATCTGGGTTCAATTCCTGGGCAGGGCGAAACGTTGGGTAAGTTTACTTACTCCACACACCTCTGTTTACCTAGCAGTAAGTAGTAACCCGGTTATTAGTTGATTGATAGATCTGTTTTCTGGGGATAATAATTCCTTCAAAAAAAAATAATAATAATTTGGTCTCACTCTATCCATGACTGTTTGTGGGATACTGCTGTGCACAATTGGCTGCCATGTTTTGCCCACAAAATACACAGTCAATTCACTTTACAGTATAAAACAAATTGCAAAATACTGCAGATGCTGGAAATCTGAAACAAAAACAGAAGGCAATGGGAACACTCAACAGGTCAGGCAGCATCTATGGAGAAAGGCAAGTGAGTCAAAGTGGTTCCATGACCCTTCGTTTCACTTTATATTCTGTGAAGTGCTTTGAGACGTTTCAAAGACGTGATAACGCGCTATATCAAATGCAAGGATTATTATTATTATAAGTGACAAATAAAGACTACCTGGATTGGACAATAGTAAAGCAGGGATATGTTACACAGTTAATAATAATAATAATAATAATCCTTGCATTTGATATAGCGCTTTTCACGTCGGGAGGACATCCCAAAGCGCTTCACAAAATACACTGTAAAGTGAATTGACTGTATATTTGTGGGCGAACGCGGCAGCCAATTGCGCACAGCAATGTCCCACAAACAGTCGTAGATTGAAAATGACCAATTTATTATTGTTTTGTTTTGGAGGGATTATTATTAGGCTCTGTGTGGAGTAAGGAAACTTGCCCAAGGTTTCGCCCTCTGCCTGGAATTGAACTCAGGTCTCTCACTTGCAAAGCGAGTGCTCTAACCACTGAGCTATAGGACTCCAAATGCTTCCTTATGGGTCAAAAATATCAGTAATCTCTCAGGCAGCAAAGTTCTCCAATTATAAATCTGTTTAATTAATAAATTACTGAAAAGCAAAATATTATATTCAGTCCAGAATGTAAAGGATTGTGTAAAAGACAGACCTAAAGTAAAATGAATGGATGTGGTTTCACAATGTCACAGTCCAGAGATTCTTATGAATATATTTTCTCTCAGGTTAATCTCTCTCCATGCAGCTTGCTCTCCTGTTCTCAGCCATACTTGCCTTGTCTTGTCTCTGTACCTTTGTAGCTGTTGCGGTTAAATCCATTCCAGACAAGGGAATTTGCATGTGTAGGTAGCATGAACTCTCAGATTCGTTTCAATATTCTTAAGAACAGTATTGGGTTTAGACATGTGTCAGATATCCAGCTGATCTAAAAATCCCTCAAATTCACTTTTTGTTTCTTCCCTGCTCAGGAAAAAACATCACCTGAAGGGTTTTGAAACTGCTCATTCTACACAAATGGCAATACACAGGTACAACAACAACAAAATTACATTTATGTAGTGCCATCTTTATTTGATGTGTTCTAACTCCACCTCCCCTGTCACATTGATAGCCTCCACCCTTCGCAGGATGCTTTGCAGACAGAAATATGGATAACTTCTGGGCAGCCTTCCACAGCCTGCTTGTTTTTCAGCCTTGAGATAGGCAGGTATTGAGACAGTAGCCGTTTAATCGGAAGCTGACCTCAACCAGTCCAGTGAAGCTACTTTTAACCTCTGCTAACCTAGTCATTAAATTAAACAAACATTATTAAAGGATTATGTGTAGTTTATATTCTAAACATATAAAGATTAATTAAAATCCTTAAAAAAAAGTAAACATCACAAATATAATCTAACAGGCGAGGCTGAGGGACTGCGGGATGGAGTTCCAGAGGGTGGGGGCAGAGTGGCAGAACACCTACCAACCAATGGCGGGGTACGGTGGACCTGAAGCAGGCCAGAGTCTGCTGAGCAGAGGGAGCGGGCAGGATGGCAGGGGGTTAGGCGGTCATAGAGATAGGGGAGCACAAGTCCATGTAGGGCTTTGAAGGTGAGGACCAGGATCTCTAAGTGATGGGAAGCCAGTGGAGTCAGGCGAGGATGTTGATGATAGGGTCACAGAGCCTGGTGTGGGAGAGGACACGGTTTGCAGAGTTCTGGATGATCTGCAGCTTATGGAGGGAGGAGTTGGGAGGCTGACGAGCAGGGAGTTTGCATAGTCAAGCCTCGATGTTATGAATGTATATATGAGGGTTTCAATGGCCTATGGTGTGAGACGGTGATGGAGCCGGGCGATGTTGCGGAGGTGGGGGGAAGGCAGAGCGGGTCATGGCACAGATTAGGGGTAGATATGATAGTTGAGGTTCAAACAAGATGTCAAGGTTCTGGACTGGCTTAGCAAGGTGGAGTGTGCCACCATGGATAGTGATGTTGTCAGCACCTGAGGTGTGGAGGCGCTGACGGGAGCCAATCAGGAGAGCCTCGGTCTTGTTGACGTTGAACTGAAGAAAGTTAGCTCTCATCCAGGACTTGATATCTGACAGACAATCTATCAGGACAGCAGTGGTCCTGGAGTCAAGGGTGGAGGCAGAGAGGTAGAGTTGGGTGTCATCCGCATACATGTGGAAGTTGATCCTATGTTTGTGGATGATGTCACCAAGAAGGAGCATATAGATGTTGAAGAGCAGAGGACCAAGGACAGAGAACTGAGGAATGCCACACGAGATGGTGCGGGGGCGAGAGGAGAAACTGTTTGTAGAGATGAAGTGGAGGTTGTGTGAGATTCAAGGACAGAACCGTGGAGGTTGAGGTGAGAGGAGAGGCGATGGATGAGGATAGAGTGGTCAATGGTGTCAAAGGCAGCAGAGAGGTCAAAGGAGGACGAGGAGACAGAGGGAGTCCTGGTCACAGCTCGACAGAATCTCATTTGTCACTTTGACCAGGGCTGTTCCTGTGCTGTGGGCAGCATGGGAACCCAATTGGAGGGGTTCGTGAAGGGAGTGATGGAAGAGAGGAAGGAGTGAAGCTGGGAAGCAACAACTCGGAACAGGATATTGGAGAGGAAAGGAAGATTGGAGATGCAGCGGTAGTTTGAGAGCAGTGATGGGTCCAGGGAGTCCTGTAGTTAGACTACTTGCTTTGCAAGTGAGAGACCTGGGTTCGATTCCCGGCAGGGTGAAACCCTGGGCAAGTTTCCTTATTCCATACGCCTGATAATAATCCCTCAAGAAAATAAAACAATAATAAATTGGTCACTTCAATCCACGACTGTTTGAGGTACATTGCTGTGCACAATTTGGCTGCTGAATTTCGCCCACAAATATACAGTCAATTCACTTTACAGTCTATTCTATGAAGCGCTTTGAGACGTCTAGAAGACGTGAAAAGTGCTATATCAAATGCAAGAATTATTATTATTATTAGAGACGGTTTTATAAGGATAGGAATGATGACAGCAGTTTTTAATGGGGTGGGAACAGTACCAGTGGACAGGGAGAGGTTTGTGATGTCTGTGAGAAGAGGGGCAACGAGGTGGAGCTAGGAGGGAAGTGAAGAGGTAGGGATGGGTTCGAAGGAGTAAGTGGTCGGGTTCATGTGAGTTATAGAGTTGGTGAGAGAGGAGTGGGAGACAGATTTGAAGGTGTGGAGGGAGGGATGGGTAGGGGCCACTGTGAGAGGGGGAGATGGGGAGAGGGTAGTAGATGGAAGGGCCAAAGCAGCTGAGCAAATCCCCTCGACTTTTGATTTGAGGAAATCCAGCATCACCTCGCAGTTAGCATTGCAGGTGAGGATGGGCGAGGCATGAGATGGTGGGCGGAGGAGCCAGGTGGTGAGAGAGAAGAGGAGTCGGGGGTAGACCTTGGCCTTCAAGATTGTCTTAGAGTAGAACGACGATTCAGTGGAGGCAAGGGCGGAGCGGTACGATTTGATAAAGTCCAGCCAAATCTGCCAATGGACCGTTAGGTTCGATTTAAGCCAGGTGAGTTCAATGGCATGCACCGTGCTTTAAGGGAGTGGATGGTGGGAGAGGGATTGAGTTAATGGAGATGAAATGATGGTCCGAGATCACTTTGTCGATGATAATGAGGTTCGAGACGATGGGACCCCAAGTGATCACCAGGTCATTGTGGTGACCACGGACATGTGTGGTGGAGTGGATGTGGAGGGAGAGGTTGAGGGAGGAGATAAGGGAGGAGAATTGAGGAGAAGTAGAGCATGAAGGGGTGAAGTGAAGGTTGAAGTCGCCGAGGATGAGGAGATATTCGGAGCAGAGGGAGAGGGAAGATAGGAGTGTGGAGATATTGGGGAGGAAGGT